TTTGAGAAACCTGTCTGTGGCTGAGATTTTGTTTGGAACATGATCCTTTAGATGAAAATCAGCAAGAAACTATGGTTAACCCACAGAGCACACCGTGGAGTTTTCATCACTGAATCTCATCAGGGGGAAACTGCTTCCCTCTGCTGGCCTCTGGATAACCACACGACCTGCAGCAGCCAGTAAGATCCCTCCTGAGTGTGTTGACATGGTGACAGTCACTGTCACTGACCCACAGAAGGAGGAGTACTTAGGAAGACATAACTTAGGAAGAGATAACAAGAAAAAGTGAGCATGCTAATGTATATTTTTTGATTATCCAAGAGAACATGGTGCTCTGGCTGGGTGTCTGGTCAACAGTAGAGCCTGTGGGCTGATCCCAGGTCTGAGGAAGTGTAACTGTGTTTTTAAACTTTCAAACATTCAACTGTCTTCTGTACTTCATTTAACAGGACTGCTGCATCGTCTTCTCTCAATCAGATTTCTATGAACTCACGCTGGACAAAAACACACACTAAGAAAACTCAGACTGTCTGACGACAGCAGGAAGGTGAGAGTCGAGCAGGAGCAGCAGCCTTATCCTGATCAGGGGCGCTGCCAGGGATTTTGGGCCCCATGAAAAAATATCACATTGGGCCCCCTCACCAAAGGTAAATTAAAAAAAAAAAAAAAATTTATTTTTGGGAGGCCCCCTGTCAGTCATGGGCCCTTAGAATCGTCCTAACTTTTCCCCCCTTTACGGCGCCTCTGATCCTGATCATCCAGAGAGTGCAGTCAATAAAGTGAAAATCTGTTATTCTATATTTAGATATTGATTTATGTGAAAAATCATTCAAACCTCAAAGATAAAAGCTGAATCATTTATACAATTCTCCCTGTTGTTAGTGTTAATTATGTGTGTGTGTAATGAGTGTCTGTCTTCAGAGTGAGAACTGTTATAGTTGAACAAGCTTATGTTCAGACATGTGGTCTTTGAGGAGAGATAAAGTGTTTGGCTGAGATGTATGTTTCTTAGTATGAAGGGCAGGACTGTATGACGAAGTGGCTTCAGTATTGACTGATGCTTGTTAGCAACTGAACAAAACTAATTGATCATAAAATGTGATCTGATTTTTATCTAAGTCACGGGTAAAGACAAACACAGGATCCTTAAGCTAATATCAAACAAACAAAAGTAATCTTTTGCATCTTCGCTTTTGTTACGTGGATTAAGTTTTGCAGGTCAGATTATTCAAATCTTGCAGGAACGTCTTTGACACAGCCAACTTTCATATTGTGGGATCATACAATATATATTTTTTTATATATTTATAGTGGAAAAAGAACAATAAAAAGGAGAGACAAGAGGAACACGGAACGTAATCACAGAGGGAAATACTGTGATGCCCCTTGATATGACCTGCTCTGGTGGACTCAGGAAACTTTGCTGAAAAATCCTGTATATACCTTCTAAAAGGCATAAGGACTGGCGTGCTGAAGAAGACGTGTGTGTTTTCTGTGTCCGCAGTGTTTTTCTCGTTTGTCTGTGTCACACACAGTGACATAGTGAGAGATCATTAGCTCACATTGAAGAAATCTACATTTAATTTGTTGTTATAACCGGCTGTACGTGTGTGCAGTGAGGATCACTGCAGCTTCAAATCCTGTGTAACTTTATGATACGTACATAAGTGTTCACATGGGACATAAGAAAGTGAAGAACTCAGCTGGGACAAGTTTGTTTTTTCCCTTGTCTTCTGTGCGACTTGCAGTGCGTTTCTGTATTGGGCTGTGCTGTGTGTATTGGCAGCACCTGTTGTCAAAATGATGTTTTTTGACTTTGAATGAGTGTTTTGTCTAGTTGCATGTGTTTTCTTAAGTTACAGTGCATTGAGCTCTGTTCAAAATGTGCCTGTCAATAGTTAAGTTTTGATAGGGAGTGATGCATTCTGCGCCTTGAAAGACAGCTCCCTGTGTGTTTCATCCCAGGGATTTCTCCAGTCTAACCCAAAAGGTTTTTTCTTCATCATTTGAGGGCAAGAAAGAATGGTGACAGAACAGTTCCTTCTTTTTTCTTGTTTCATTATTGCTTTGACCAGTAAGTGTTCAAAATGTGCCTATACTTGAGCAGTGTCTACAGGCAACCAACCTTTGCTGCCTGGGCCTGGGAGGGACCTCATCTTCCTCCTTGGCTGAGTCCATGGTTCTGAACCCCTGGCACTATTTTTTTTCTTTCTTTTTTTGTGTGGTAACAGTTTCTAATTTTTCCTCACAGGGGCAGCACCTGATCAAAATGTGCCTGTGTCTACTTTAGTTAGGGATCCAGGGATGGGTGCTTAAGTGTAGGTACTCATGGAGTTGGACTAATCAATGCCCAGGCCGGGTAGGAAGGGTTGGGATAAAGCACAGAACCAGGCAGCCAAGGATGAGGCTCTGGGCCAGTGCAAGGAGTTAAAAACAGCAAATGTCTCATCTCACTGTGCTGCAGAACAGAGATCTATCTATCTATCTATCTATCTATCTATCTATCTATCTATCTATCTATCTATCTATCTATCTATCTATCTATCTATCTATCTATCTATCTATCGGCTTCAGACCCCCAGCCCTGGCTGCTTGGTTCTTGGAGGGTCTCATACCTAGTGCACACCATGTTCAACACCTCCACATGCTCCACACACCTACTCAACACCTTAACCTGATGCTAGTTAAGGGAGCAGGTGTAAGGCCCTCCAAGGATGATCTGGATGTAGCTCCGCCCTCCAGACACCTACTGCACAAATTAGAAAAACAGAACAATAACTTAAACAGAAATCCCAAAGACGGGCCAGGGGTCCATCACACCATCCCAGTCACAAACAGCCAGGGCTGGGGGCCTGGAGCCAGTGCCAGGGATTAAGAAGAAGAAGCCGGTATAGGGACCTTGTGTGAGGCCCTCCCAGGCCTGAGAGGCCTAATGTTTTGCTCACATCAGGGTGGTGTCTAAATAGTTTCCATCCCAAGCAGGCCAGAGCTGGGGGCCTGGAGCCAGGACCAGGGGTCGAGAAAAGTTAATATAGTAACCAGGTGTAATGCCCTCCCAGTTACAAACAGCAAGGGCTAGCGGCCTGGAGCCAACGGTGTGAGGCCATCCCAAGCCAAAGCACCCAGGCAGGGGGAACCTGTAGCCAGTGCCAGCAGCTGAAATGCAGAGCCCAGTTAAGGTACCAGATATGAGGCCTTCCAATGCCCAAGAAACCAGGCCATGGGGCCTAGAGTTAATGCCAACAGTTGACAGAGCCTCGTACAAGGACCAGGTGTGAGGCCCTCCCAGTCCCAAACGACCAGGGCTGGTCAATTGGATCCAGTGTTAAAGCATAGACACACACATGTTGTACAGGTACTGCTGAATGCTAAGATATAGACTTGCACATGTTTTTTAGTCACAGCACTACTGAGGAGGAACGAGAAACTGTTTCAACACCAACCTGAGTGAACAAAAAAGAAAAAAACTACAAAAAACCTTGCGGGGCGCCTCGGTGGCTCACCTGGTAGAGCGCGTACCATATAGGCTTATGGTCTAAACTCAGTGAGCAGTTCAATGTCAGCTATTTATATAAGAAGCTTACAACATGTATAGACCCAGGAGAAACTAGAAATAAAGTCTTTTAATCTAAGGCTTGTGGCCTGTGGTAACCTACGGTGGCCTGATGGTGTTACCTTGGAGGCAAACCAGAAACGGCAGCCACTTTTACACAAACATCATGCTATATTGCACATGCTTTGCCTTTACTATCATCAAACACTGTGAGGTGTGACGTATAACACAACAATTGGCATCTTTCCTGCACGTCGACCCGGTTCTGTGACTGCCTCCGCTACCGGTATAAAGGCAGAACAGCAATGTCCACATCCACTCCGTGTACACACCTTTTAAACAAAAGGGGTGAGGTGGAGTAAAAGCGTAACATTCCCACCTTAAACAGGCTGTGTAAAAGGGGCACAAAGCTTTTCGGTTGTCATTCTACCAACTTAAAGGAAAACACCAGTGTTCATGTGTGTTGTACAGTATCAGCTTGTTTGACACTCAACACAGTCAAAGATTGCCGCAGCTCAACACCACGATATTTCTTATATTGCTCTAAAACAGTGGTTCCCAGCCTTTTCCAACTCATGGCTCACTTGAAAATCTCAAAAATGTTCAGAGCACTTTTCATTTTAATGGTAACAATTGAACATTCAGGATTAAACTGAAAGCAGCAGAAGCTCAATTTTTATTTTCTTGTTTGATGGGTGGGTAGTCACTTGTTTTAAAACATTTAAAGACATAATTAATATATTATTTATAATTACATCTTTTCACTGAAATTGTGCTGTTTGGCTAATGATTTGTCAGCCCAACCACTGCTCTAAAAAGTTACCTGTACTTCGTAATGCTATTGATTGAAGCATTTTGATTATGAATTCTGATTGATTTTGAATATTTTGCATCACCCCAACAATGATTATAACTGACAAGAACAATCGCAGACAAATCCAGTCCAGTTGGACATTATTATACTGATTTATCTATTTCTGTGGTTTAACCACAAAATCCTCACAAAGACATAAAATAACAAATATCAAAATTTGAAGCCGTTCTGTAAGTAGTGAGTGAAACAAATATTTTTTGTTCGTAAACTTGAAATTACAAATTCTAAGAATGGAGATTTGCACTCAGGTTAATAATGACCTTTCTTGTGTCACTCAGGGTGCACTGTGTTTCACCTGCATGCAGAGAATGATGGGTATGTTCCCTGGGTTCAAACTAGGCGGCTTACAGATCCACCCTCCACGTTTCCACCTTTAGGGGGCATTCTAATAACTTGACCTCTATCGTTAATATGTGCTCTCCTTAATTAAACACTATTAACTCTGCAGCTCTACAGTCCTGCCTTATATTTGCTCTGGTTGGAGCTTATTAGGGGAGCCCAACGCGATTCAGCCTGACAGACAAGAGTCGGGGACAAAATCAAATGTGACGTCAAAAGAAGTTGTGTTGACTGTTAGCCGGGTGCTAGCTAGTGTTGCGTCGAGATCGAGTACTGGAAAATCCCTCACCGCCCGTGTCCCATGGTTTTCCACGTCTGCTGGACATCATTCACTCATGCACTGTCCAGTATCAGTGTGAGAAATGCAGGACAGGTATAGCGAGATAGGCTTTGTCCAGCAAATACTCGGTTTGAATTTAGTGCCGAGAAAAAATGGCACACAGCGAGGCAACGACACATATCTCAGCGACTTCTCAGGTGGGCTAATGTTTGGTAGCTTGTTAGCTACACGGGCTATATATCACTGCTGACATACTTGGCCGAAATGTCGTATTGTGGGGAGGAATGCCTTACGTGTCTTCTTTTTAAATGTTGAAATTTGCTCAATTCCTGTGAATATGTATCTCTATAGGCTAGTTGTTGGACGCTTGTTTGTACACGTTAGCTTTGTTCAGCTAGCCAACTTCATCCTCAATCTCACTGTTCTAACAATAATCGGATTTACCAAGCGATGGTTAACAAACGTGTGGTTTTATTTCAATAAACAATATCAAACATGGTCAAACGATGTGTATTCACGTTATGTAAGATTGCATTGCATTTAACTGAGCTATTGTCGGTGTATACTGTAGGAAAGAGGTGAGGACGTGTGGCTGTCCATAGCTTGTATTGAATTAGCAACAAGTAAATTCTAAAGCTTCTGTCTAAAGCTTTTCTTTCATTTAGTTTAGAAGTGTGTGGTAGTCGCATCAGTGGAAGAGAATGACACAGTTTAACGTTTTTGTGTGTTGAGGTTTTATAGATACACTAGCAGCACACAAGGAGACAACAGACAATAGCATGAACAAGCGAGAATATAATTCATTACAGTAACACTGCTGTTACAAAGCCTACACTGTTCGGTGTACAGTGGCTCTAACAGGTGTGGAGTAGTTGTCACGACTTAGTCATGTATTACCATGGGCTATGGTTTGGGAGAGTAATATGAGCACATAGTGTAAAGCATTAATGTAATGTACTAACTTCTACTGTGTTGGTGTGAACATTTTGAAACGATTATTCCGGTGATTAACACCTCAGGGCTAGACTAGGACTCAAAGGTAAAAGTTTGGGAGTGGTCTTAACCTGGAACTTGAGTCTCCATCTTAGTTCCATCACAACCTTTCAGATTCTCCATGTGTGGTAAAATCCTGGAGGTGTGAACAACATTCCTCCTGAAGATAGTCCCCTTTTGGTGTTTTGATGATGGAGGTTGAGAGCAGTGTCTCACACGTTGGTCCAAAATCTTAAGTAGGTGTTCAACTGAATTTTGATGTGGTGACGGTGAAGACCACAGCATATAATAAATCATTTTCATACTCATCAAAACATTCACTGAGCCCTCGTCACCTGTATGGCATCATATGCATTCTTTATGTAGCCACAAATTTATTCAGGGTCTCCTACAGTTGCTGAACTTGTGTTCTCCATAGAGGAGATGCAGAGAGCTCACATCACATCAATGAATAATTGAATGATCTGATTAAAAGGCCCCAGTGCCTGTGAAACTGTACATGATTTGTACTGTTGTCATGAAGTGATGTGTGACTCCGTGATCGTATGTTTGTCCAGAGATGTGGTATGGAGTGTTTCTGTGGGCTGCGGTCTCCTCTCTGGTCTTCCACCTGCCTGCAGCTCTGCTCTCCCTCGCCACGCTGCGTCAGCACAAGATGGCCCGATTCATGCCCATTGCCATCCTCCTCATGGGCATCATGGGACCAGTTTGTGGGGGGGTCCTCACCAGTAAGTAATATGTGTTTATTTCTGCCTGGATTATGTTTAAAATGTCCTCAAGTTTTTCTTTTGGCCTTTTCCAGATCCAAGTCTAAGTCCTGCTCATACCAAGGCAGATCAGATCTGGTACATATATTCTTAAGAAGACACAGTATTTTTAGGTCATAAACATCATTTCATCCTGAAAGAAGTTTTTGTGCATAAGATCCTCATTAAACATAATAATAATAAAATAATGTTTGAATGATGAATGTTGATCAGGTGTACTAAAATAACAGGTGTAGCCTCTAAATTTGGTACAAGAGCTATTTAATCCTAATACTGAAGTTCCTGGTTCAAAACTACTAATTTGATTATCTTAAATTAGCAGTGTGTCAGAGTGAAGTCTCTTCCCTCACAAATGATCTTTGATGAGTGATCATTTGAATTTACATGTGGGTGAAATGCAGTTGCAGGCTGAAGTGGACAGTAAAGAAAGGACCAGCATTTGATTAGATTTATTTTAATCAATACTCCAGTATGATACGCCTGGAACAAATCTTGACTGTCATACATTAGTGATTGTGTCACAATTGTTTTGATGACCTATTTATCCTTCTTTTTTTTTTTAAATTCAGTTCCATTTTCCTTGAATTTGATGGAAAATAGTTCATGGCTTAAAAACACTGCTAACTTATCAGAAACCAGGTGGAATTCAACAATAAAGATGTTCAGTTCTTCTGTATTGTTTTCTTATGTCCTTAAGGTGCAGCCATAGCAGGTGTGTACAAAGCAGCAGGGAAGAGGATGATGTCTTTGGAGGCACTTGTCTTCGGGGTCGGACAGTCGTTTTGTGTCCTCATCATCTCCTTCCTCAGGGTCCTCGCCACCCTTTAGCAGAGCTGAGGCCCGTCTGGCTGCACCTGATGCTGCTGGGTCAGTCTGACACCAGTCACACTGTCTCATGACGGGACCTGACTTCTAATGGTACAAGACTAGATGCTGGCAGATCCTGGGCCGCATCTAAACCAGCCAGACCTGGGACATGATGTCATTTACTACTGATGGACCAAGACCAGGACCAGGACCAGGACCAGAGCGGATTTTATTCCACTTTGAGAGAAAAAGCAGTGTGTGAACTGAAGGTGTGTGTTAGGCAGCACTAAGACTTCTGGCTAGCTGTTGAGCCATCTATATGATGTCCACTGTAGGACAGCTGCATACTGCACTCACATCACAGGGCAAACACACACTACATAACAGTTGAAGCTGTTTATTTAAAAATCTAAAATAATCAGTAAGTAATGACTCATTGAGTTTGCAGTTACTCCTGTATGTGAAGCAGCAAGAGGCTGTTCTCCCCTGCTGCTGGGGTACAGGTTACCATCAGGATGACACTTACCTCTCTCAGGGGCTGTGTGTGTGCGTGTGTGTGTGTGTTAGTGTGTGTGTGTCCTTCTGTGTGTGTCTGTGTGTGTGTGTCTGTGTCTGTCTGTCTGTCTTCCACTGACAGTTTGACTCCATGCAGTGACTGCAGAGAGGCAGAAGAACCGGCAGGCTGACAGGAAGATAACAGTTATATGCAAGATTCTGGCTTTTTTCCTTGAGGCCTTAATTTCTATTTTCCAACCTCCAAAGTGGTGTTTATCTTTATCTCTCTCTTTGCTCTTTTTGTTTTTCAAATCACTTCAAGTCTTAGTGCCTGTGTGTTACTGTCAATTCCAAATTAGCAACTACATGTTTCCTTCTAGCTTTCAGCTAACCTATTTTAGACAGACATATAAGTGAAGAGGGTTTTATAGATCTCAGTCGTAGGGCACATTTTTGTAAATGCAGACTAAAGAATGTCTCCTCAGCTCATCTTGGTTTGTTAGTAAGTTCAGAGTGAATCGATCAGAGGTTTGAACATGTGGCAGAAGGATGCTCTGATTTCTAACAAACCCAAAATTGAGAGGAGCTTTAGATCTTCTCTCTTTGACTGATAGTGTATTTTACAGGTGTGTTATTTTGTGACACTGAGCTGATTTGTATATATTTTAAATTATTTCCAGGTCTTTGTAGCTTTTTGAATCTTTATGACCAAATATGAATTGCTCTTTTGTTTTTCTGCACTAAATGTGAAAACGGCGGTTCAACACAGTGTCATCCCCTGTAGTTTTTTGGGCTCATTATATTTCCACGGTCTCCCTTTGGTGACAGCTTTTAGTTGCTTTTGTATCAGATATGAATTTACAACCTGCATATACAGACATAGGTAAACTCTACATGTATTTGTTTCTGTGTGAGTCATTACTTAGTAATGATTGAAAACTGGCTTCTGACACACTCACCAGAGATGTATTATTTATTGTTGGTCACTTTGATAGTGAATTTACTACGATTTTGATTTAATATTTAATTTTAGTGTTTTTAAACAGATATGCAGTAATCCAGTAAACACAGTAACTGCCATGTAAAGCACCTGGAGCTTTTCAGGGTCTGGGGCCCTTGGGCAGTTGCCAGCTTCACCCAGTCAGAACAGAAACAAGACACATGGCAGCAATCCAGGTAGAATCTGTGGAGCAGTTGAACTAATTTTTGCTCTGTCAGATCCTTTTTCCTTTCAAGGTTTCTTGTGATTCTGGTGCAGATTCTGAGTGTTTGCACATGACATTCCCATTGGAAATGTTCTGCTTCATTTTGCCATAATGATCCCATACTGTAATAGAGGTCATAGAGCATATCTCAACATCACCTCCTGAAGTGTCATCTGGCATCTGGCATTGAAAGGTTACCTGGAGACTAGTGGGCCAGTTTTTATGTTATGTTTGACAAGGGTTGGTAGCCCGTTTAACTCATGCAAAAACAGCAAATCAAATCATGATCTGCTCAAAGAAATTCTCTCCAAACCACAGATGGCTTGAATTCTTGATGTGTGGCCTGTACTTCACTGGTTACACTTCCGTCCAACAGTAAATTAAATTTGAAAGGATAGTTTCACAGTGCATGTAAATATGCAACAAATCAAAATCAATCTAGAATGTAGAATTTTTGGCTGGAGTTTAAAACCAGGAAAGGCCATGATTAAAAGATGACAACACTCTCACATTGTAAAGACACAAGTTCACTACCACTGGGACCAACAATGGGACAGGAGATGCCTCTGGACAGAGCCCACCAAGATACTTTTCTTCTTGTAAAAGATTTTGGAGCCTGGAGATGAGAAAATGTCCTGCCACACCAAACCACTAATTTCTAATTTTGCAATTACAGTGAAATTGAGTTTCTTTAAAGCTGTGGGAAGCTCAGTGTGTTCATCTCACTGTACATCTGTTGGGAAGTGCTCAGTCATTTGAGGGGCGGTAAATGAAAGTATGTGTTTTTGTTCTTACTAAGACTTGGTGATTGAAGCATCTGAAGGTGATGCACAAACTAATGAGCCTTGTTTGAAATGAAGTCTTGTTAAGCCCTTGGCCTTTCTGTCATGCTGTACAGTTTTTTATGGTTGTGTAATGCAGCTCTCTGAGCGTGTGTTCTCTGGGTCTTTTACAGCAGCACACAACTTTAGTCTGGATATTTTTCTTTTATGTGTGAAACCAATTGGCATCTTCATCAGTCTGGGAGCCTGTGTGCTAATTGTAAGCACTGTAACATCTACCTTCTCATCCTCTCATCTGACTGTACAGACATTTCCCATGTTGTCTTCTTGTGTTGAGAGAAAAAAGTTCATAGGTCAAAGCAAATGGTTTTATGTGAACTGTTTAGGCAGCACTAAATGTCCATGCATCCAAGCTGACCTGTCTCAGGGCAAACTAAGTTCAGACTCACCCTTTACATCAGACTCCCTGAGGGGTTGAAGTTCATTCTTGGAGCTACTTAAAGCAGAAGGATATACCATACATAAAAATGTGGAGTCAAAAAATGTTAAGCCAGAAAACTAAAAGAAGCTTAAGTAACACTAATAAAAACAACTGCACATAGTTGGTGCATAAGACTTATCAGCCTATTCCCACTAAGAAAAGAAAGGAAAATGAATGAACACCAAAACTCGTGTGAAGTCAGATTTTGGAGATATGTCTCAAACATAGACCAAGTCAGAATTGAGATATTTACTCTGTCAGTCAAGAACAACCACACTCAGTTAAACTAATGCAGTCTAGTATAGTGTCTTTGCAGTACAAGGACAAGACTGTAGTATTAGACTGCATTAGTTTTATATTGGTGTGCCTAATAAACTGGCTACCAAGGCATGTCAAAATTTACACATTGGATTGTTCATAATTATAGTAGTGTTAATTTCAAGTTTGTCATAACTTGTATAATGAATCTCTATTTTGATTCTTTTCACCTCATAATGTTGATTTACCATGAGATTTTTAGTTTTGTCTTTCCTTAAATGTGATTTATTTAGTTTCTATTTTCCAGGCAGAAATGTGCTTTGATACTGGCCAGTTGTTCAGTACAGTTTGTTTTGAAAAGAACTTCAAGAAAAGAGAGTCAAGAAACTCACAACAGGAATTGATGTGCACAGAAAACTGGAAAATGTCATCTGATTTCGCTGTAGGCATGTCAGATGTATTAATGTGAGTTATCTCTGATGGACAACCACACTGTCAGAAGTGCCAGGAAAAGTAACAACTTAATGAATAAAATTACAAATGTCTTGGAAGTGCTGAGTATCTGCTGTAATTTATTTATTTCCAAGGTCCACATTCCTGGACCAATTTTCAAAAGGTTTTAAAGTTGATTTTACTAGAGTAAATTAAGTGCCATTGGTGAATATTTTCATAAAATAAAAATGTTTCAACTATAAATGTGGTGGTGTTTCTTCTTCGTGTGCATTACTCACCTCTAGTGGTGGCCAGGTGGAACTGCAACAACACTAACAACATTTAAAGTTACACTCTAACATTTCCAAAAACAACTAGACCTATGTTGTATATGTTGTTGAGTTGCGTTCTTACATTTTCCCAAATGTTTCCATCAATTCTCAAACCAGAGAAATCTGTGATTTTAATCATGGTAACGCTCCGTTTCATTGGTCACCTGTCAATGACATCATATCCTCTATGATCATGTGTCAGTGTGTTTGTCTGACTGAAGCTCAACACTGACTTTTATCTAGTTTTAAGCCACATTCACTTTTTACAGCTTGGTGGTTTTCAGCTCTATATTTGAAGCAGATGAAGGATTTTAGTCGTCGGACGTCTGGATCTGAAGTTATCAGAGAAACAAGCTGAGGAAATGTTAGACAGCTCAGCTCCCAGCTGCTGGAGACGTCCTGTCCTGTGTCACTGAAGAGTGAGTGAGTGACGTAACACACATTGCGGTCTAGTGTGATCTGACAGCATTCTTGTATTGTCCTTTAGCCAAGTTCTGGTAAATCAGATGTCCATAAAGCCAATTAAAACGGCAACGACTGACTCATTTTTACTGTAGGTTTGGAACAGTGAAGCCGCGCCTAATGCAGCCAGGTACTCTGTCCACAAGTAAAATCATCACAACCATCTGAATTTTCAATTAGGCTGGCTACTCCATGTCCTAATGGAAAGCCCTGCATGTTTATACAAGAGAAGTGACTAATTCAAATTTAGCTTTAATCTCTTTATACAGATTAATGACAGTCAATAAATATAGTTTTCAGCATCTTGCTGATACATAACAGTAATAAAAAAGGGGATCTTTTTCTTTATCTGAGAGGTTAGCTTAACTTGTTACCAGGATAGTCACTTGACTTTGTTTTGGTATAGCTTTTGTTAGATCATCCAAAAGTAGCACTGAAGTCTGGCATTTTCTACTTCTTGAAAAACAATAAGTTATTAATAAATTGTTAATAAATAATAATAATGAATAATAAGGTGCCAGAGTGTATAAAAAAAAAGTATCAATGAATAATGAGTTCCTTTTTTTTCCGGGTGAAGATCCCTCCAGGTCTGGGCCTTCCTTAATTCCCCCTCCATGTGTAGCCACATGGATCCCTAACTAAAGTATCACAGGCGCATATTAAACAAGTGATGCATTAATGAGGAAAAATGAGAAACTGTTTCAACATCACCTTCAAGTGAGAAAAAGAATAAAAACAGTGCCAGGAGTTAAGAACCAGAACCTGGTAGGGAGCAGGTGCGAGGCCCTCCCAGGCCAAAGCAGCCAGGGCTGGGAGTCTGTCAAAGTAACAAAGTGCTATACAAACAAAAACAAAGCAATAAAAAACACAGAAGTGAGGCAATGTGTAGTGCATAAGTATGTGTTAAATCAATGAGATCAATGGTGCCACAAAAGAAAATGAAACCAAAAGGACCAAAGTTAAAATTTAAATCAATTAAAAGCTGCTTTATACAGGTGTTTTGAGAAGTGATTTTAACAGGTGCAACGACTCAGCATGCCTGATCTTTAGATCTTTAGATCTTTAGTACTACTTACTTAGGAAGAGGTAAGTGATAAGATCCATAGTAAAATGTTAGGGTATAAACATGATGATACTTTTGCATTAAAAGGCATTCTTTTATGAACTAAATAGTAACTGAGAAACCTTTTGACTAACATATAACACTGCTTTTACAACCACTGCATTGTTTATGTACAAATATAAAAAGAACTGAAGTGTATGCTCCAAGCTTCTTTTTACTCAACTTAGACCTACCATTACCTTTGGTCAACAGATAATAAACAAAAACAAAATACTGACCTCTTCCAGGTTTCCTGTAGATCCAAGAACTTGCAGTAATGTGGACATCAGTGCACCATCAAAATCCATCACTTCTCCATAGTTCACCTTTTCTCAAGCTTCAGTTTTTCAACTCCATCAATGGTTACGCTGGTTTTCAATGTGGGAGAGCACCAGAAGACAGCCACCGATAACGACCAGCAAGTGCAGTGTGTTATATCAAATGCAACTTTAGATTCCAGTGAAACATTTAATCCAATGACAGAGCATGTCTAGGACTTTGCCCATAAATAAGAGTGGAGAACTGTCTGAAAGTGCATGTTCAAAGTCCTATATTGAAAGTATTCAAAAATACTCAAACCTCAGCCATGATAGACAAGCCCAATAAAGCATCTGCAAAGACCACATAGCTTCAGAAATTAAGATGAAATTTAATTAATTAATAATCAGACAAAAAAGTGGGGGATAAGTTGTACTATCATCTGTAAATAGCTTATTCCCTTTCCAATGCTGGTACAGAAAACTGAGTTACAAAACCATTTTCTCTTGGAACCAAATGCTAAACAGTGAATCATGAGTTGCCAAGATGAAAAAACTGCCCCATTTGGTGTGGGGAGAAGAAGGGGTTCCATGGAAAGAAGGAAAGCAGCAGAAGAGTGCGATTTCTAGCAAAATATAAATCATTTCATCCCAGCTGCAAGCAGATGCATTGGTGATTGGTTTATGTTGGGCTCAGTGGACATATATTCAGCAGAAATGCTGCAACATTAACTGATGTCCATCTCTGCATTTTTGCTCAGTATGCTGGCAACTGCAGAAGTTGGTCATCATTTATAATGCACCAGGCACCTCAAAGCACCAGGCACCTCAAAAGCCAGAAAGACATATTCTCAGGAGTTGGTGGAGACCAAACCAAAGCTAAAAGGCCATGTATACAGAGGCAACTACAGTATGTGAACACAACCATGGCAGGTTTGAAGTTTGTTTCAAAAGTTTAAGTTTGAAAACTCAACTTAAAAAAAATCCACCTTCATCAGGTGTTAGATTGATTTTGAAATTGAGGTGGTGAATGAAAGAAATAAAATATAGGTGGAACAATGGTGCATTCAGACTGACAATAGCACTAAAAACTGCTCACACTCAAAGATGCTTTACTCAATCTGGACTTCCAGGATTAAAGATCACTCCAAGATACAAGGGTCTGCATTGGTGGGGGTGTGTTACTTTGGTTGCTGCTGAGAAATAATAATAATAAAAAACAATGCAGGAAGGAAGGCAGAAGTTTGAGTGAGAGTCATACTTCTCAAGGCTTCTCAGACACTAAAAACACTGCACAGCATATTTTGAGGAAGGATTTTAGAACTGTGGAAAGTTATCAAAGTGGCAGTCATCTTATCCTCTATCTCAACACTTGGCAGCTAAATGGTAGAATTTCACTGTTCACCTTACAAGGTGATCTGCCAGGAATGTGCACTTGCACTGCCAATATAGTGCTGAGCCACGTTCAACTTCCTCGCTCTGCGTGTTGGCAACCCTGATTTGCCAACACCTGTGTTTTTCCACAGTGCTGCTGTCAGTCTGAACACAGTTCAAGAACAAACACCTGTGGTTAGAACTTGTTCAGCAGCTGATAAAGAACAAATTCAAAATTTAAAATAGTTGTCTTCAGAAATAAATTGAACTAACTCAATCACATTGCATTCTCTTTTCCTCTCATGTTCCTGTGTGTAATTTGTTCATTCCTCTAAATTCCCTAAAATGCTGTAGCTGCTTAAAATTCAAAAGTTCTGCACACGGTATAGATACATCTTGAACCTGCAATGGAATTTGCTAAATGTAAAGAGAGACCCCATAGTTGAGAACTACTGGTAACTACTAAACTAAAAAAGAAAAAGCAGTGTTGGGCCAAAGAACAGACAGTGATCTGAGGAAGTTGAGGTGGAGCTAACACTTGTGCAGCTCCCAGTTTAGGCAAACAAACTGTGCCTCTCCTGTTTAGCCTTCCAGCTGCGAGGTAGGGACCCAATTAGCATGAATGCAGCCTGCCAGAAGGGGAGAGTGTGTTGGTATGGCTCTTAAGTAACAAAATATCACCATCATTTTACTTTCATAATAAATTAAAAAAAAAAAATATATACCAAAAAGCTTGTCAAATCTGACTCAAAGCAAAAGAAGAGGAGAAAAACATTTACAAAGAAGGCCTGCAGCAAAATAAAACTTTAAGTCTGGTTTTTAAAATGTGTTTCAATTGGCAGGAGCAGCTTTGCTCAGACACACAGACCAATGGTGGGTGAGAATTTTAAATATAGCAACTGCTACGCAGGATCCAGCAAGTAACAACAGCTTAGTGATTGGTTGGCTCACCAATCAGCTTTTCCTGTTTCTGTTGTAATTCATCTTATGTTTCTGTATACATTTTTCTTTTTATAAAATATTTTATTCATACAATCATTTCTTTAACTATAGCAACATTACTATTTAATTTTGAGTGGCAAGATATCAGTCGCACATCACCTCATAAGAACAATAGTATATAAACAAATGCAGAAAAAAAACTATTCTGTATCCATTTGAGTATGTCTCTCTTTTTGCTTTTCAGTTCATCCTGTGTCTGTACACCTGTCTGTCTGACTGTCAGTGATGACCCGATGGGAGTATTGCTGGTCCTGGTGGGGGCGTGTGATTGGTACAGCTCTGAGCAGTGGCCTCCGCTGGCTAGCCAGGAGGAGGGTCCTGCGTGGCAGAACAGGCTGGCCATTGGCTGGCATTAGAAAACCTTCATGCCGGCCCATTCACAGCTGGCTCTGAGGACACGGCACTCTGGTCCAGTCTAGAGAAACGCAAAGACATAGTTATGGACCTTTTTGGAGTAAATGGAGACAATTAAGGAGTAGCTTTACACTACAGAAACTTTGCTATAAGTAAAATGAACAGTTGGCATGCTGGACAGAGCTCAGTATGCAGCAGCACATTACTCAGTACATGACGTTGAAGGGATCTCCTGGTTAAGTGGTGCAGCCTTGAAAGACTCAATCTCACACAGTTCACAGGGGCAGTCACTTACTTGGCCTCCTCTACAGCTGGCATTTCCTCTAGAGGACCATTGGGAAGCTCCACAGTAGACCGACACTTCTCACTGCTTACAGGAGACACAGGAGAGCAGAGGAAGAAAAACGTCACTGAATGGCTAACCTGGAATCATATTTACATAACTCTCACCAGATCATGTTCTAATGGAAACCAGTGATGGTACAATGCTGGATTAAGGCTTGATATCAGCACTCATCTCCTGATTTGATTCTTGATTCTAGGTCGTAGATGTAATCTCTAGACTCAGTTCGATACAACCACAGTCAGCTGACCATTCTGAGTTACCACTGGCGTGAAATGGAAAGACTGTGGCTACGTCCACACTGATGTTTTAGGTTTAAAACGCAAACAGGTCTCAGTCCTGACTACCAGTGGTGAATGCAACATGGATAATGAATTACAAGTGTTACTGACCTTGTTCAGTTAAGTTCTTCATTTTAATGCTACAACTGCATGCCCACTGTACGTCAATGATCATGTGATGTGTGTTTTCAGGTGTGTTAGTCTGGACAGAGATTATTTCTGATACCAAGCTAAATAACTCATCTGAATGGGTGTGGACGCAGCCTGTAATCATTCATGTCACACTTTATTGGACTTGGATCATCAGCTGGCATGTATGTTAATTTTAATTTTAAATAACCTTTGGGAAACTTGATTTCCACATCCAACATCATTTTATACATCCCACAGCTCAAACTGAAGCACTTACAACAAGTTACCACTGTAGACATAATATTTAACACAGATGTCATGTTAACTGAGAAATGAGAAGAATCAATGTGGGATCATTACATCAATAAAATCAATAAGAATGAATAAAAGTAGTGAGTGATCAGAATTATCCAGCCCTAAGTAAGATAAACATCAGAAACGTTTAATAAAGAAACACAAGATGTGGGAGTTGCACTGTTTAATAGGCTGTTTCTGATTTGGCACAAGTTTGTGCCTGAATGTCACATGTTATCTCCACAGGAGCTACAGAACAGAAACCTAATGTTTGTGTTAATGATGGAAAAATTTGGTCTAGTACACATTGCTGATTCAGATATACAGTACAGAGTTTTTAATTTGACGTCTCTGTTTTGTATATTTTTTTGTCTTCCAGCCTGTGTGCTGATGTAGTGTTTAATAATCTATGAATACCTTTATTGATTTATCTAAATTTACATTTAAATTATGTATTACAAAGGCCATCAGTTACATAAATCATGAATAAATCATAATGATGTTGATGTTGTTACATTTCCTATTTTGTCGAATTTTGAAACAATTACAAAAATTATTTTAAAAAAGGCTTTTGTCATTTTATTTACTTATGTGCCTGCCTACCAGATTGCACCTGACAATTCATCTACTTCCTGTTTTAACATTTACAGTAATTTTCATTTAGTGACTGCTTTAATACAAAGACCTAAACATGAAATCAATCTGGGCCACATAGCAACAGATGAAGCTCCGTTTGGAGCAGTCAGCCAATCAGAGCTCCTTCTGTGGCCTGAAGTTTATTTCATGTTCAGGCCGCATCGCTGTTAAATTAAAGAGAAAGGACAGAAAGACAGAAAATGAGAATTATTTGTAAAAACATTTTTAGTATTCTAATGCATCATTTACTGGAAAATTTAATTTGGCAGTTTCTTATCACATTTTAAATTCATCAGTCGATTACAAATAATAAATAAATACTGAGACATTATTGTGGTGATACATGACAACCCTCCATACTACTGTCACAGTGTAATGAAGGGCTTTGGCACCAAATTATGACTATCTGATTTTAAACCAGCATCACAGCTATAGACACATGTCAGGGTCAAAGAGATCATGTGACTGAACACTTCCATATGAGTGGTGCTGAATGGTACAGAGGTGTGAACAAAATTTGTCTCCCTTCAGGTAAATGGTGTGTGTGTTGTATCTGACCCTGTTTTGGGACAGCAGGCTGTGGCTGAGCTGTTGACGTCTGTTCTCTCCAAATCCACACACTCCACTACTGAGTATTTCTCTGAAGAAGCACTCTTCTCTTCATCACTGGAACACACGTACACACACAAATATACATTAATACCGTAACAAGTTATTGATAGCAACCACTTTCCCCAAAGGAACACACAGAGCACAGTGATATGTGAACAGTGATGCATGCTGAACTGACTGACAGAGCACACAGTAAAACAAAGGATGGAGGTGTTGAAATGGGGGAAACTGTGAATAGCATGAAGGAAAAGCATCAAAATGTACAGCAAATGGAGAAAGTCAACTGTTTAGAGTGTTTAGCTACAATACTGTTTACTTTGTAGCTACAGAGCCAGCAAATAATAGGCAGGCCTACAAACGGATTTGGACACTGATTAGACCAAAATTGATTGTGCCAGCCGTCAGTCTTGCTTTGTCTCAGAGAACCACCAATAATCTCAATGAGGCCTCAATCAAAGCAAAACATCTATAAACATCCAGATACAATGCAACATTTGAGGTGCTACATAACATAACAATTATTCAGCATTAGTCATTTCAGACAACAAGCTGTCATGTGGTATGAAGAATATGTGACCAATTCAGAATCTCTGGTAATGGCTGCATATGTGACATTCACACCGGTATTTTTATGCTTGATTAAAAGTTGTCTAATTGAGTACTAACAAAAATAATATTCATCCTTAATGTTACTTAATGTACAGAAAGGAAACACAAAAAGTCTTAATTTCAAATTTCAATACTCAAAAGAAAAGCTTTATCCTTCCTGCATAAAACATCCAGTAATATTTTTGTGTCACAAAGCTTTTAGTGGTTTCTCTGACATTATTAACACACAGATCCTAAGGTTACAATATTTCATTTCAGCCAGAGCCCAGTGGATAAATCAGAAGGCCAAAAATACAGGTGTATAATAGCTTTTCACAGATACATGTATATCAGTACGGGCACATACAGTTTGAGGTCATTAAGAAACAGCATCTCTATCACAGTTTGGGCCAGGCAGAGAAGTGAAGGAATTTTCACAACTAAAAAGGAAATCAATATTTGATAGAACAATACTGATATTATATGATTACTCCTATGAGCAACTCATATTTCATTTTAATTTCAGAAGTTTTATTAATGGAACAGTATTTTCACATGTACATTTCATTTTTATGATTGGATTCAAATTGGTAGCATCTGAAATTTAAATGTGTATCCATCCTTCTAGTTTAAGATTACTGTATTGTTTTACAGAATGTACACACAAGTACACAACAGGCCACGCTGGATGTATTATCTGTTCTACTGTTCCTGTGTGGAAGAGTAGTGTGTGGACTGTTACCACAAATAAAGGAAAGATGGATAATGTTTTTCATTATTCATGTTACCTATCGTGCAAACATTTGGCCGTAACACACTGAACCATTATCTTTCGAATGAATGATGTTGTCTCAGGTTATGTCAGAGCCTTAATGAGCAGATTTCTTTTTCAACTGGTCTTTGAAGACACGCCTCCGGCCATGAATGGATGACTAATGCATGATTTAAATCAGTTGTGTTTCTACTATCTAGGCACCTACCAATGTCCAGTATTTGACTGTTTGCACATTACAAATTCTTAAGCAGTTACATCATTGTGCATTTTTACCTACGTTACAGTCTTAATGGCTGAGCCATGTGGACAAAGCAAAACATAACAATGAAATAAACATATGAATAATAAAATCCAATTGTGGAGAGGATGAGGCCACTTCAGGGTAATTTCACTTGTGACATTTGAAATAATAAAATGGTTTTAAATTGGGTTAAGATACAAACTGCCTGAAAGCTGAATAAACTAAAAACTGCACTTGGACAACACCTTTGGTAGAAATACATGCAGAATGGAGATAATGAAATAAACAAACAAGGAGCTGAAACCAAAGATCAAACTGGGAAAGAAAAGTTGGTGGTTGACGTGACAACAAGACTACATCACGGCTGCAGGCTGATCTCTGATTGGCTGTACATACCGATAAGATTTCAACACTCTGAAGAAGACCACACCCACAACGCACAGCAAGAGAGAGAGGGGAAGCTCAGGTTGTAAGTGTTGCTCAGTTCATCAGACAGTTGTTATTTACTCAGACAGACAGACAGACAATATAATACAGTATCAACAAGGGGACAGAAGGACAAAGGATGACCAACTGTAAAACCTGTGGATTTCAGATAGGCAAGTACTTCACTACAGAGACACTGTTGAAATTCAAATATGAAAAAAACATCCATTGTAGGACTGACAGGTGGCTGTGGAAAGCTTGCGGTTTCATAATTTGTGGATGATGGGGGCTGTAGTGTGCTTGAATTCATGTCAGTTCAAATGGATTTTAATAGTGAAAAGTTTTAATGGTGGAAAAAGTACTGCAATGTTGCTAGGTGTTTCATACTTGAATATCATTTTAAAGTCTAAATGTACATAATTATTAGTATTTAATTGAAGCATGGAGTACTTTATCACCACACGGACTTAGCTATGTACTGTCTCTGCAATTCTGCTATGTGAGGTATGGTCACCACAAATTGTTAAGACACCGAAAGAATGAACATAAAATATAAGACAACTGAACCAGTCTATGGCCTTATCTTTGGGGTACAATGACCAGCTGAAGCAGCACACACATTATTATTCTGACCTAGAAATTGGCTTTGACCCTCTGTGTGGTCTTCTGGTACCAACACAGTGCACAGGTGGGAGGTTCATTCAAATGAGGCACAACTAAGCGAGCTGTTGGTATTTTAGATGGAAATTGGATCTGAGGCCCTGTCCAGACCTGTTCAGACCTGGTATTAACATTCGTCTCAAGTAATCTGATCACAAGTGGTCAGCTCTAAGTTCAGGTGTGAACGCACCCAATGTTACTCAATAAGGAGTCAAACTTTATGTTTCGCCCACAGCTTTATTTGACAACCGCCATCTTCACCCGCTCCCAGGTTCACAACAACAAAACGCACTTCCTGTTCCTTCCTTCTCAATAATGTCCCTTCACAATAAGAGTTTGTGCTTACTTAGTGAACTGAAATAATAATAAAATGTACACAAATGAGTCTGTATCTTATCACCCAAGATGCAGTGAGGACGCATTTGAGATCCAATCACTCAGACCACATTCAGAGGTGGTCTGGACCAGGTGTTCACATTCTTTTAGCAGTGTCAACGTGAATGTGTCCTGGACCACACTGAAGGACCAACTACTCTACTGACATCCTCTGTCACAGTCTGATTAGTCCCAACACAGTTTATACTGAAACCAAAATATCTCACACATATACAAGCACAATGATAATGGACCCTTCTGTCAATTGGCTTAAAACAACACATACCTGTTTATTTGCATATAAAGTAGGAAGAGAGATCAGATCACAAGTGGTCACTGGAGACACTTTTCAACGCAAGTGTGAGCTGATGAACTTAGAGCTGACCACTTGTGATTGGATCACTGATGACGCATGTTAATAACAGGTCTGAACAGGTCCTTCGTCTCACTGACAACAGACATCTGAGAGCCACATTTTGGTGATTTTGTCCCCAAGACTGATCACTGAAATACCAACACACAACTACTGCTACATAAGGACACCTGCTGTGGTGTTCAGGTGTTTCTATTATTTTGTCCACCCCATTTATAACAATGAAGGTAGGCTGAATAACAGAAACACCTCTGTATAATGTAACACAGCTCAACTGCTCCACACACTACATCCTCCATAAAGATCATAGTTGAATCAACAACTGTCTAAAACAATTTTATAACAAACATTATAACATTATAATCCTCATGAAGGAGGATTTACTGCAGAACTGTTGTATTAGACTACATCAGTTTTATCTAGGTTTTCCTAATAAACTGACAACTGAGTATATATTAATAATTATCAGTTGTGTGCACAGACTGCAAAGTGCCTGACTGGAAATTTGTGGTTGCTTTCAGTGCGGTTCTCACCTGGAACATTGAATATTTATTTAAATAACAATGTGTCTTATTTCCAGTTGTTGGAGTTTCTGTAACCAAGTTTTTTTGCTGCTGTCTCATCTCAGCTAATTTGTTATTTTCCTTATTACAGCAGCTAATTACCCACTGTACAGCAGTTACAGCTGTTTCTTTTAGCATTTCTCGCCAATTCCATAGTTCTTCACACACTATTCAGATCTGATAATTACTTCAGCTTAGCAGTTAGTGATCGCTTCTCTCGTGCTCTCTCTCACTCAGTGAGTGATCTTGGATCACAAATTAACTTGTTCATAAAATTGTGGTGTTTTAGCAACTTCGTAGAGGACTGTGATGTTCATCTGCTGTCTCACCTTGGACACATAGCTCTGCTTACACACAGACCTGCTCCTGTTTGTTCCTGTCTGTACACAGTAGCCTTCAGTATTGATAGGCTACTACTCGTAACATGTAGTAGTATGTAATAGTGCTGTGCGTGGTAATGATTCTGATAATCATAAAAATGCTGAATATCAGATCTGTTGACCCCTGCTCAAGAGGAAACTACAGACTTGCAGTAAATGTGCAGAAACAGTGGAATAATGCTTTAATTGTGAGTAAACTCAAATACTCTCCAACCAGTAGATGTCTTTAAAAAGGTCTGGGGCCCATCTCAGATCTTGATGTTAAATCTAACGCTGCTGCTACATGAACTGTGACAGATACTACGTTCACACTACTACTTTTTTATTTTAAAAAGGCATTTTCAAACGAAAACGATCTCTGTCCGGATTAACACACCTGAAAACACATACTTAACCGAGCAATCACGTATACTGGGCATATGCTAGCCTGTGTGAACAGGAAGTAGATTGTCTACTCTGCAGTTGATTAGTTGGAAAAAATACAACCAATGAGGAACAGCAAAGACAGTTGTAGTGTTAATATACAGAATTTAACTGCACAACAGCTGCTAGCAAAAATGACAAGGTCAGCAGAACTTCTTATTCATAATCATGGTGTATTTACCACTGGTAGTCAAGGCTGATGAGAGCCATCAAGAGAGACCATGGGTGTCTACACCATCATTTCCAAAGGTCTCCGTTTTTGCCCGTTCAGACTACTGCACAACCCCAGTGTTTTCAAAATAAAACGGGGCCAGCAGCGTTTCCAAAAATTGCAGTTTTCGTATTCAAAAGCTCTGTCATGTAGACGGGAGGCGAAAACATAGCAAAAGAGATGCATTTTAAAACTAAAAATGTAGTTGTGTGGACGTAGCAAGAGGGATGGTGTGAGGGCTCCATTCTGGTAAAGACACCATCATGTAAGCGTATCACAGTGTTCCCCTCTTGCATTTTGAGAATGCCAGGATCACAACCACAGCACTCAAATTGCTAATAATGACATTTGACATTTTAGGGCTTAAAGTTTAAAAAAAAAAGAAAAAAGGGGGGGGGGGGCGCACAGATTCACTTCTCTTTAACAGCATTTATTTAAAAATACTATATGTCAACAGTAACAGTGCAACAGCTCTAAAGTGCGATCTACTTTGAAAAACTTCTGGGTAATTATAATTTGGAAAAAAGATTTGCACATATACAATATGTGCTTTGCACCATTTTTCTCTATTCTCCATAAAAGTACGTGCAATGTAAAGACAACTGTAAACAATACAATACTATAGCAACGTTTAAGTGTTTCCTTCTGAAAAACAGATAATAATGAGAATTAAATAAATATTGAAGATTAAAAAAAAATACAGTAACATTGAAGTGCTTAAAGAACTGGTAAACTGAAGTTTAAAGTGAAATGAAGAAGGCCACTATCACTTATTTCTTCATTGTTTTTGGGTTGTGAACAAAGAAATAGTGAAGGACAGATCACAGATCATGTTCAGCTATAAACGTATTTTCCTTTTTTTTTTTTAAATTGCAGACACGGTCAGTCATTGAGTATCAACCGTAACGGTCGCTCCCGGTAACGTAGTTGTATGTTGGAGTGCGCGGACAGCATGCTGGTGCATATAGTAGCTTCCTCGCCCGGCTCCTTCAAGCCGCTGGTTCCTACACTGCCAGTGTTGCCAAGACCCGCCCCGCTCCACTTCTGATTGGCTAGTAAGCGGGCGAGAGCTGCTTTCCTCTCATACCATTGGTTGCTTAACTTTATTACCTTGAACATGATAAACTGCATCTACAACAAATTCCTAAGTGTATTGACTTTTCATTTTTTCTCTCACAGCGTTACACCGGAGATCCAGCACGGTGCCGGAGTACTTTAAGCCCTGCATTTAGTCATCTAGCACAGCTATGTAGTGTGTTTTTGTGTGGATGTGTTTGGCGAACCTCTTAAAGACGGCGGTCTCAGTCTTGGCATCAACAGTGAGGCTCACGGTTTCTTTCATAGAGCCGTTGATGACTGTCTCTGTGATGCTGCGCTGCTCACAAGAGGTTGTTTCCTCCTCCGCTTTGGATCTCCCACAATCCTTAGGTGAGGTGGAGGAGGGACAAGCCAAACCGGTTCCCAACCAGCCATCACAGTCTGAGGGTGTTGAGAAAGGTGACAAACAGGTCAAATCTGACAGATACAATTTTGTCATTTAAGTTATTTCAATACATAGGAACTCACACCGACCCCAACAGAAAACATATTCACTCACCAGCATGATTTTGGATTATTTAGATTCTGCCACCAAAAGATAAGCAAAGTGTCAAATTTTGTGTGTGTGTGTGTGTGTGTGTGTGTCTCCAGGTTTAGTGTGTCACAACGGGACAGCAGGAGAGTTGGGGCGACACACATCAGTATGTTGGAGGGCGCCCTGGTGTGTGTGTGTTTGTGTCTCAAGATCACATGATGTTATATAAATCACACTCTGGATTAACATAGACATGCATATTAACACATCTCACCTTCAGGCTGAATGGGTGCATTGACCCCAAGAGGGTCCATTGTCTCTATGCTGGTTTCCATAGCAACAGGAGAATTGCACCTCAGTGGGTCTTTAGGGCTGAAAAACAGCAATTTCTATTTATGAAGCACTCTATCAGAGTAAAAGACAACGACAGCCGAAAGCAAGCAGTACTCTGCTGTACCTGCAGCTCTGCCTGCACACTAACAAGAAACGGTAGCAGAGCCTGTCACGATGTCCTACCTAACAGGGGTGAAGTTGGAGAAGTCAGCCCAGCCCGTTTCAGAGTTGGCAGCAGGAGAGGCGCTCCATGCTGTCTCAGGGAGGGCTTCTGTTGAAGAGGTGGATGACGATAAAGGAGAGGGGGCAACAGGGTTGTTGGGACTGGAGGCCGGAGCTGTGGATGTGCCCGTGTCCATGGGGATGTCATCGAAGTTTGCTGTCCACACTGGCCCTAAAAATAACAATGTTAAAAACACATGAATCACTCAGAAAATGTAAGGTATTGATAAAAAAAAAATAAAAAAAATGTCCTTATCAATTAAAAAAAAAATAAAAAGAATAAAAGCAGGCATCACATTCGCACCAGTACTGATGTGTAGTTGTCAAAAGGTACACCAACCTGTGTCAACTTCCATTCTGTCATCGGTGCTGGGGTTGGACACTTCAAATGGATCTCTCTTGCCATCCTCCTCCTCTGAGTCTGTGCTCTCCTCACTGTCTGTGCTGCCTGAACTCCTGAAATGGACACACAGACTGAGGGTTATTTCCAGACCTCAACCTTATCCGAGTTCATCCTCTCATCATACTGGGGAGCGCAATAAACTCCACAATCAAACTGCTTGGCTATTAAGGCATATGCTAAAAATGTTCAGTGTTTTTAACAGTTGTTGTATGCTTGTATTAATTACTCAGTTTACTAGAAATGCTTAGAAAAGCAAAGAGGATATATTTAGGTCATTTTTCTAGTAAGTTTTCTGATTTTTTTTTTTTTTTTTTTTTAGCTTTTCAGACAATATCAGTAACTGACATATTAAAACAATGATAGATTAACCAAATACACTATTAGGTGTCTCAAAATTTCTTCAACCAGAATATTTTAAAACATCCTTTACATAAACATCCAACACAGAAACTCCTGAACTTAAAAACTCAGAAGTAAAGAACTGAAGAAGAACACACAATGTGCTCATGTTTACTCATTTGATGCTTTACAGTTAAATTACTTTGCAGATGCTCACATTTTATAATTAACTCTGCATGTTTGGTAGCACAGACAATTTTAAACAAGAGGGATGATGGCCTTGAAGCTGTAGAAGTCACAACAGAGTTTATTCACAAACAAACATCTCTGTGCATTTTTGTGTGTGTGTGTGTGTGTGTGTGTGTGTGTGTGTGTGTGTGTGTGTGTGTGTGTGTGTGTGTGTGTGTGTGTGTTTGTGTGTTGTTTGTTTAACTGACCTGGGGCGTCTCTGAGCCTCTGGTGCGAAGGTGACATCTTTTTCATCCCAGATATCTTCCTCATCTGAACCAGCATCTTCAAACTGCTGGATTTTCTCCTTACAGCGAGCCTCAAACAAAGCTATGTTCGCCTGGGGAGGAACAGAAACCGAAACATACACACACACTTAGAACAGTTTACATCTATAGCACTTGCACATACAAACTAGGGTTGGATCCTACAGAACAAAAGCCACTCAGCCGTGAAGCAGACATTAACATGTTTACCGCTCAATGGAGAAAAATGACAGCACATCCATGTCTGTATCTCACACTGTGCTTTGCTCAGCTTTTGGTTCAACTGCATTTCTATCAAGATGAATCCTTGTATTCTATACAGCCGCCATACATTTGTTTTATGGAAGAATTTGAATTTCTTATCTTATTTTGTGGCATCTGCTTCCACATGAATGTCATATTACAGTGATATCAGGAAATATAAGATGTCATATTAACAACACATTTAATTTGTTGAGAATTTCACTTTCTCCTCTCATTCAATAACTGATGAATTCAAGATTAATAATCAAAGTACTTACACTTTCATTTGTATTCAGTGAAAAATTGATGTCTGATATTCTATCAAAGGGAATACTGCAATGTTAAAGAGAACAGAGTTTAGTTTAGTTAGGGTCGTTAGGCATCCACATATACACACAGGCAGACAGGCTCTAGCACACAGCTGTCACATTTCATATTCAATACTGCAGGAAAAACTAAAACTTATTCTTGTCCCACGCCAGGTTCATGGTAGCCTAATGTAAAGACAGCGCTGAGGAAGCAAGTTTTTAGATAGACACTTTTGTTCCTTTACATGCGTGTTTTGTGTTGTGAACTGGTCAAACTAAGAAAAGCATACATAGGAAGGTAGTAGGAGACAGTAGGAGAAACAGTGCACCTTTATAAGACAGCCAAACTGGTCACTCTGAATGTTGCTTAGTTTCCCCAGATATTGTTCTTTATCCAACATTTAAAATATTACATCAATAATTAGAGGAAAGTTCATCCATCTTACACAAAGTCCCACAGCATTAATATAAGCTCAAGTCTTAGCCCAGCTTAGCACAAAGACTGGACACAGAGGGAAACTGTTATCCTGTCATACATACATAAAGCAGTACATAGATTAGGACAACAACTTGTTGGTGTGTTCAAGTATCTCTTTTTGTTTGCTCAAAAGTCTAACACCAAAAGGTCTCTTACAAATAAAGACATGAAAAAACAGAAAAACCTTAATTTTACACAATGAATAATCAAAATAGGTGCCGATATTTTTTTTCTTTTATGACAAATGCTGTATGTTATTACTGATGAATTCTGATCCATACAATTTGCCTATATTAGTAGAAATACTAGTCTTATGTGTAAAAGACTGACATTTAAACTTCCTTTACTGGTATCAAACATTCATCATCATTAATGTTTAGGTAGCATGCCTAATATGTGCACACTCAATCATGTTTAACGTGTAGAAACTAGAGCAGCTTCCTCCACATTCATGATTCATCTGTCAGAAGTCCCAGAGTCGAGTTAAGATATTTATTTCACCACATCCAGGTGCGAATGTAAAGTTTTTACAGCTAAAAGGCTTGACAATACGGATTAAAAGGCAATTACTTGTTGACTTCTTGATGGACAAGGTAGGACAGTACGTTATTCACATTAACTGAGCCAGGCTAGCAGTCACCCCCTTGCTTCCAGTTTTTGTACTGACAGCTAAACACACCTAGGACTCTCTCAGCACTGGAAACCTATTGATTAAATTAATAAAGCTTGTCATCTGACTGTGGTAAAATTCCTTCTTCTTCCTTTTTAATAAGAACTGTTAAGATGTTAAGACTTTTAATTAGCCTCTGTCCGTAAGATCAGGGTCATTCTAGTCACCGATAGCATCTTTCCAGTAGGAAACAAGTAAATGAGGCTGCAATTAACAGCACTACAGTAGTAAAATTACCACCTGCCCACACATGAATGCAACAATTCCGTTACCATGTGCCCACCCTGGACAGGAGCTTGAACCAGCCTACAAACCCCAAGTCTGGAATTCCTTCATCTAACCACTCTTACTACTATTCCCCACTACTCAAAATGTAATATTTAATATTTACTACAGTAAGGACAATAATTGTATCCCAAATTACTCTTCACCTAATCCCACTTTACCTTCCAACTTGTGCATTCATGACAACTGGCAGGTATCTGACCTGTAAACGATGTGTTTTCTTTTTAAAGGACATCAGTGGTGCAAAAGATGTCCAGTGTACATTCGTTCAGGCCTTGGGGAAAAACCAAGTCCTCTCCTTGTAGACTCCACAAGGCTACAGATACTTTCCAAATATCCTGACTGCACAGATGGGAAGACCACCAGACAGACCTTACACTTAAGTGGAATGGGAGCACAGCACCAATACAGCAGTTCTGTCAATTACTCGCTTCAATTTCACAAATTTAACAATCTTACATTTTTTTTTCAACAGAGATTTAATCAAATTTTGTGACTCATGCATTTTCTTTTCCAGAACCAGCATCAGATGATATCATCTAGAACTGTCAGACAATTCAAGACAGGTAGAAATGTTGCTGCATGTTTAATCTACCATTTTTGGCCAGCATGGCAACATCACTCTTTCACTGAGGCCGGATACTGTCAGCACTCTGATATAGATAAGATATAGATATATAAACACAGTTGTTTGCACTACTGACACAATTAGGACAGATCTTTTCATTCCTCTTTCTGCTAAAAGAAAACCCCTTGTGTTGTTTTTGGAGCTTTACTGATGCTGTTTAATGTTCCCAGTTATTACTGTAACACTTTATTTGGATAGTTTGCCTACAGAGAGATTACAGTATTTGTAACATTTCAACAGGTTATTAGTTGAGATTTATCAATTCAACTGTTTCACTCACCCTAACCATTTAATGGTTTACTAGTTGTTTGTTGAATATTTGTATAAACATTGTTGAACATTAGTTGAGCATTTGAATGTTCAAAAATGAATGAAATGTTAAAAACTCTCTGCAGGAGGACCATCCAAACAAAGTGCAACCGTTATTACTTATTACTAGTATTTATTATTGAGTGAAAGCATTTTAGTAGAAGACTTCCCATCTTCATAAACAAATGCATGTATGTTCTATTAATCAAACCTTTTGAACTTATTTTGTCAAACAACTAAAACTTAAAGAATTAATGTCAGGAGAACATTTGTATTGGTGTATTGCTTATTTCATGTGGCCCAATTTTTTTTTGTGACAAATAGTCTGATAATGCAAAGCCCAAAATCTATATCAAATGAAAAATGCTCTCCTTCATCCCACAAGCTGTTTGTTTAAAGTGAACCACACATTTTAAATCATTGATCAACTACCAGCTCTCCAACAACCCACAACCAGAAGATTACACCCCCAAAACCAGCTTGCCCTGAGGAAGGTAGAAAGGGACAGCACACAACAACAAAAAAAGCTGGATATGGTCTCATTTCTTAAATAAATAGGGCATATTTTGGGAGCTATGGCATTAGTTTGAATTTGTTAGCATGTTGTGGTTTTTTGCCTTTTTCTGCAGCAAACTGGAAATTTAAGGTGTCAGAAGGACTTTAAAATCAGTATCAAAATTAAGCTGTAAGACATCTAGTGGCATTCAGATTTTAGTGTCAACAAGAATGGAATCAAACACGTGTAGTGACACGTCGTAATAATGGGGCTGAGAATAAAGAAGTTAGAAAAGCTTTCTCTTTTAAAGTTATATGCAAATAAATGAACAAGTCCACCCTGCCAGCTTTTTAAAGTCATAAGTGCCCTGTCCCTTCAGTGTTACACAGTAATACTTAGACAGGAAGTCTAGTCATGCAGGATGAGTACTCACTCCACAACATCGTCCTGATCAGCAAACTCTTCATCATTGAAGCCGAACTGCTCAATAAAATTGGACGTCATTTGTTGCATCTGATAATCAGAAAAGGCCTGGCAAAACCCAAGACCAACGATAATGATATAGTCTTGGCTCTACACAAAGCTGGTCATTACTTGCAGTACAGATACATAGCAAATATATATACCAACAAAGAATGTATAACATGTAGGCTACACAGGTTAATAGCTAAAAAAGCACAAACATGCATTTACAATCAGATGCCAAAACGCTTAAATATTACTTGAGAAAAAAGTGAATTGTATTCTATTCACAGTAACTGTAAAGTTTCCTAAATCACATTAGTAGTTGAGTAAATTAATTCAAAATAGGGTACAGAGATGTTTCTGTAGCTTGTTACTGTGCATGACCCATAGTCACAAAGCATGAGGTGAAAAAAGTTGAACTTTTAAGGATATTAGGCATTACATATGTGCTGTTACACCTCAATCAACCAATGACAAGGGCTCCAGGAAAACACATGTATATTACAGAGTGGCGATTTTGTTCAGTGACCACGACACTGATGTCAACTGCGTTATCAGCCACAGGGCTTGAAGCTTACTTCTGTCCCCAATGAGCACCTTGGAGCATATACATAACTTCAGGGGCATGAAGAAAATGTATTGAGTAATGTGTTTTCCTGAATAAAAGAAATACAAGGAGACATTTACAAGCAAAAGGATTTCATTCTTTGAATACAAAAGTATTCTAGGTATTTAATTATTTCTATGACAAACTATTTATTTAATTATTTACTTCAAATTACCTTAAGCTGTATGAAATATAAATGGTTTGAACTTCTCTAAAATAAAGCAGTTCTTCTTTAGACACAGAGGACAGTGTTTACTAATGGCTGAGAATTTACTTGTGGTGGTGGGAGGCGCATGTGACTGATGTGCATGCAGAGACTCACGGAGTTGAGAGGGGGAGAGTAACTCTGGTTATTTTCTGTAGCTACAATTTACAGATGTCCCTGAAACACCTCACAAGGGAGGCGCTACAATTTAAATAAAGGTTAAGCGATTCCCATACATAATTTCCTTCACCTTATTGCTCTTTGGGACTGCCATAGCTAAAATCTTGTGTAACTGATACTGTAATTGTGGGAAAGGTAGGTGGGCTCTAATGACACCAAGGCATCTGTGTCTGATCATGACTGACATCTTTTTGTGGAGCTTTAGAGGAAAGCTGACAACTGAGTCCCTTTCTGTACAAACTGGGTTAAAAGTCATTTTGTCCACATCAGACTGATTCTTGCAATTGGTTGTAATAAACTGTCTCACACTGACCAACTCTGATGAGACAATATTGTCCACCTACACCACTTTGAGGATTTACCTCCATGAATTAGATGTCTATATCTATCCAAAGAAAAGCCGACACAGCAAAACTACAGAGCTTCTGTTTAGGACTGACATAGAATGACTAATGAATATTCATAGATCATTTAGGTCTGTGTGGCTATGGGTCTGCTTCGTATGCATTTATATATGTGTGTGTGTGTGTGTGTGTGTGTGTGTGTGTGTGTGTGTGTGTGTGTGTCTTACTTGTTGTAGAGAGGAGTCCTGGTGAAAGCCACTGTCTTTAAAGTCCACCTCATCATCACTGGAAGAATGGATGTGGTGTGTGTTCACCTAAAGAGAATTTCACTTTAGCAAAAAGAGAAGAGTCTGTCCAAAGAACTGGTTGTCCATTCATGGTGTAATAAAATAACTGCTGTTGTGCTGCAGTCGACCCTGGTCTAAATCTTTGTGAAAATGTACAGTGCAGTCCATGATAAATTAAGCTTGAACAAGTGTTGAGTTGGATCTGTACTTGGAACACAGGATCTGGGAAGAAAACAATACTTTTTGGCTTGTGTACATAGCAGGTGTTTTAGTTTTTCTATCATCCCTCTCACGTGTGTCTCTCAGAACACATACACTATTTTAATCAATACATCCGTTTAATCTGGCCACATAAGGACTCATGTTTTACTTGTTCTTTACACACATGAACACAACCCAAAGCATATTTTTACACTTCAAGTCTATTTTATTGCATTTTATGTGTGTAACTACAGTGACTGTGTTGGGCTTTAAGCAATGAAAAAATGCAGATGACCAACACTTAATGCTATGGCTGAATGCACCCTTTGTGGGCACAGACAGAGCAGTGAAGCTGCTGCTGCAACTCTGCTTATATGCTGCTCACACTACACCTCCTGTGTAGACAGTGTTCAACTCACTCACTGTTTCATTTCAAATCCAATGTGGTTGAACTACAGAGCCAACACAATAAAAAAAAAAATCTCACTGTCTAAATAACTGCATGGCACAGCCAACATGTAGTAAAATAAAAACTTGACATCAGTGTTGACGTTCATGTAGTTGCTCACCAGGTCGACAGTGTTTCTCTTGTTTGTGTCAGCCAGCTGCCCAGAAATAAAGGCCTCCCATTTCTCTCTGTCCTCTGCTGGGAGCTCTGTGTCAGACACAAACACAGCTCATACACACTCCACCCTTATATACTGTATATTTAACAAAACTGTTAAAGAATGGTGCTTGATGTCAGATGCCATTAGTTATTTTGATAAAATAGGCTAACCACTGAGCTAAGTAATAGCACAGGAAGACTTCCACCGGGTTACCACCAAAGTGAGAACTTGACACAACACAAAATAGAGGTCAATGTTTGAAACTCAAAGACAAAGATTATTTGCAGGACAGGTGACGTTAGAGAGATACAAGTCCTTACCTGAGATGAGCTGTTGTATCTGCGGTCCATTAGGGCCTTTGTCACAGTTATGAACTATAGAGTTGGCTATTCTGGTGAGGTGACCCATGTAGCCTCGTCGCCGACCACCTTCCGCCCTAAAACACAAACACATGAGACATTCCATTATCATTAAATTTGATTTATTTTTACTTTGACCACTGAAGCCAAGAATCACTCTCTTAACTACTCTGAACCACGACCAGCAGTGATCTTATGACATTTTAATACACTTGTGTAATTTACATGATAAAGGATCACAAAACCTTTGGTTTTGCAGTGTGTTCTATTCTACTACAGCAAATGACAACACAATAAAACATAGTTACCACCTGACAAAGTTACATATGGTCTCCCTTGCAGCAGAGCAGAATACTCACTGTTCTTTCTCATTGGAGCTCCAGGCATCTACGATTCTCTGAATAAACTGGCACTTTTGAAACAGCTGGTAGAGAAAGACATAAGGAAATTAAATACAAGTATTTTAGTGAGGCTACAACATAGTGCATATTGCTGCTGTGCCCACATTGATATTCACAAAAAAACAGTGAAATATAGATAGTCCCAGGCATGGAAACAAACAGATTATGCCTGAGGTAATCCAGATTACCTGGGGAAATGTGATGCAGTATTTATTTATCACATAAGGGTTACTATCTTCTCCATTGTAATTGTCCAACTGTACAACAAATACTAAGGATGTCACAATACCAGATTTTCGCATGTGGCGTGTTACTACAACAGATGTCAGCTGTAGCAGATCACAAATGATAATGGTAACATTTTTTCATTTTCATAGTCTTTCTTTGAGCTGCTTAGATAAATTTGAGGTTCCCGTGATATCCCTAGTAAGAACAACTCAGTTCTGCATTTTCTTATTTGGTCAGGAAATTTATCAACTCTGTTGTGTTTACATTAAATGTTCAGCTGTGACACATTTTGCTTCATGTTAGTATTTTTTTTTACCAATGTAAAGCCAGCGTTATTGCTAAAACACAGCAACTTTTGCAGTTCAGCTACAAAAGTAAAACTCTGTGAAAAATATTTTTTCTCTACTTTTCTAATCTTACATGTTTGATGAGGATGCTTTCCCTAGCATGTTCCTGCTCTGTGTCTGGCTGGACATCAGTGGGGGCGGGGGGCATAGCCAGAATCATGGCTGTGCAGATCTCCACCTGAATGTGGAGGAAGTTGTTCCAGATGTATTTGAAATACATGTCCTGTAGAGCAAAACAAAACATGAAAACAGAAATATTAGTTTGTTTGGAGTGTCTAATGCTGTTTGTTGTTTCCACACTATACTGAAGAAAATGTAGTTATAAGATGGTTCTTGTTTTTCTAGTTCAAGTTCAATCAAAGTATGAAAATAATGGTTCAGGGCACACAGTGACAAATGTAGCCTTGTTTTGACCCACAGACTTCTGTGATCAGTTTTAAATCAATTTACAGTTTAACATTATCTGAACCACTTTCCAATGAAAACCAAAAGCAATTAACCCTGAAAAGGTCTTATAACTGGTCTATAAAACCAAGTATATACATAACTACAGTAAATACAGCAGGTTAAAGTCAAACCAAGAAACTGCTGAGCAAGATCATATGGATGTGGTTATTATAGTTTTTACATCCAGGTGAGTCCAAGTTCCACTGGACTGACTACACACTGTTGTAAAGCTCTTACTAGCACTCTGCACATCTCAGCATATAATGTCAATGAAGATAACAGTATAAACAAAGAAAATGGAAATGAAAGCCAGAATTACCATTGTAGTTTCTGGACTGATAGCCTCTCACCACCTATCTCTCATTAGTATGGCTTTCAAGGGAGATAACTGTAATTGGCCTTTATCTGTAACTTGAATTTGTTTAAATACATCTGCAATATGCTCATAACTATGGTTGGGGTTCAATCAAATCCTAATCCTCTCAAATCCCTTAATGAATCTTATAAAGTTTTTGCATATAAAATATAAAAACAAACATAAAACATATAATGCCTCTGGCCACGAGTGTTGCCAGCATGGAGGTTTAAAAAGACAAAACATGAACTATAGAAAAATATCACAGAGCATACTGTATATAACACGATCTTAGATCAATCTCTTCTAACTGCTCAGCTCTGTTAGTGTTGTGGGCTACAGGTTAATTAATGTTCCATTAGATTTTATTGTAGTTAGATTCTAATAAGACAGTGAGAAAACAAAAACAAACAAAAAAACACTATGTGAAATGCTGAAGATACAAAAGGTACTCACTAGTATGACTTCCAGCGTGTTGAGGTTAATGAGTTCTGTGTTGATGCTGTGTGTGTTGCTCTGCAACAGACTGGCCACCAGTCTGACCACATTAAGCCTGGTGTTGCCCACTGGGGGGTCCAGCACCCCCCACGTTGTCTTCATCACATTCTTCTGTTGGTGGAGAATAAACAGTGCTTAGTATATACACCAATTCATACTAATGACTATACACTTAGTGTAGAAAACCCTCTGTCACATCCTGTTTCTGTGACTGGACCATGTTTTGATTTCTAAGCAAAATTTTACTGGTACTATCAAAACAAACTGTATATTTTCGGGAAAATCACTGTTTTTACAAACGTTGGATGAAACACACTACTTGAAACTAAACTAGAAACAGCTGACAATGGATAGGATTGTCATTTTAAAACCGCTTACAGCTATTGGTCTGGTTCATACCTTTGGGGGTTCCAGTAGCAGCTGGTGAAAGTCTTTAAGTCGGGGTCTCACAGCCTCCAGGATGCTGTGGTTGACTGAGAATGAAGGATGGGACATCCCTGGAGGACACTCCATGTGACCCTCAAACCTACAACATTGCAAGCCAACATCTAATGAACCAGCTCAAACACTTCAGTCACAGACTGAAGTGACTTACCAATCTGATTCTGAAGAGCCATCAAAATATTGTGAACATTTGTGCTAATTTTGGTAGTTGGGGTAGTTAGACTGGTGTTATTATTTCACTCTATGGTGAACTTAGCATGTATGTGTTATAATTTTCAATGTGTTAACTCATTTATAACAACTGTGTTGGTGGTGGTATAAGGACAGTGTTCTCAAGTTGAACTTGAACACTGATGGTTTTGGTCATCAATTCTATCAGTAATAATAATTTAAGATGTGGTTAGTTGGAGTTTTGCCTCTGTAAAATGGTTTAAATAATCTGGACAAACTGTTGATTGCTTCATTATAACCTGTTTGATCAGATACTGTTGTAGTGATGTTGCCATGTTCCCGGTCTCAATAAGTTTGGTGAGTACTCATCATTGCAGATAGAACTCGTGCACAAAACTATGAAAATCAGAACCAAACCAAAATCATCTTTTAACAATATACTGCAAAATCTGTGACTTCCATCACTAATGTACAAACAAAAGCCATAATTTTAGTTGATCTCTCAACCTAAGGCTTTTTTTTATTTTATATGAGGTGTTCTGCCCTCATTTCGTGTTCTTCAACTATTGTATATCCAATGTCAAAATAAAATATCAAGAGAGTTAAGAATTCACATGACGTACGCTGGTCTCCTTGTCTCAAACAACGTGAGGAGGATCTGGATAACACTGACAATTGCAGATTCATTCTTCTCCTTGTCAAAGATATTTGACAGCAGTTGCTCCACTGTCTCCTGCCTGAGGAGGAGAACAGACATGAAGATGAAGAGAAAGCAGACTCTAAGTCACTTGCCACATCAGTTACACAGAATGTGTTTTCAACAGCCTACTAGGCAAAAAAGACAACAGCCAAAAAAAACAAAACTGGTGGTTAAATAAAAAAACTGACTTATTTGTCTGATCTACATGAAAAGTCACTGTTACAGCAATCAGAACCTTTTTTTTTTTTCAAGTTTAGATTGAGCCCATTTTTTAACCTAACATTATCACTGCCTCAGCCAACATCCTATTCAAAACCTAGGGAACATTTAATAAACCTCAGTACCTTAGGAGGGGTCAAAGGTCTCTACACACCAGACAAATTAACCATGCTATAAGAGCTGTTGTGGCTAAATGATACATACTTTTCAAGTGTGGCCAGAAGTGGGTCAGGCTCTGAACAGCCCTGGACCTGGAACATCTGATCTCTGCTCAGTCTGATGATCTCACACAGTGACTGGGAGGCATTGGAGTGTCTCTGTGTCAAGACAAAAAGGAGAAGTGAGACAATAAACCATAAATCTACAACCTTTAGTCTTACCCACTTGAAACTTAGCATATCTAATCCTCCAATCAAAGTCTCAATATTTCCCAAACAGGTTTACAATAAGCAAGAGTGTCCATCTTGATGGAGATTAAGAATGATAAAATAAAATGGAATCTATCTGCAGGGCTCAATAACTATATGATATTTTTTCTAATTTGAGTGAAGTGATCCTTATGTAGAAGTGCATGCAAATTCTCCAACAATTATCTTTAATACATATTGTTTTCAAAGCTTAAATAGAGCAAAAAAAGTTCCCAGGTTCATCAATAGCCCACAGAGGATGATAATATCCTGATGGCCAATGGAAGAAACTCACATCCTCATCTTGAGAAGGCTGCACCATGTCCACCAGTCTCTGAATTACCTTCTCCTCATTTAGCCACTAGAAGAGCACAGAGAGCAGAGATGATCAGGATGGCACAAAATATTCAGAGGGAAACAAAGAAGCAGGTGGTAAAATTCTGTGTATTAGATAACCGTTAGAAAACAGTCCTGACATTTCATTTCTTGCCAATGGAGCATGTGAACCAAATAAGCAATTCCTGGTTACACAAAAACTTGTGTGCAAAAGAAATTGTCTGAGTAGACACACACATTACATTGTAACGTGATGCCAGCCTTGTAAAACCATAATGCAACCTCAGCTTCTGGTATTGGATGTTATTCTAAAACATCTACTGAGACCCGACGAACCCAGCTAGAACTAGGCATTACTGATACAAATTACACCATAATGCTGTGACTGCAAACTTTATTAACCCCTTGAAATTTATTTAGAAACAATTTAAGGTGGATAGCCGTAATTATTTTCACAAACAAAGACCAATGGCATCTCAAAACCTGTTGGGCTTGTCCAAGTAGAAAGGCTTCATGGTGATGTGCCTGTGATAGCTAGCGGCATGAATTGTCTTTTGTAAAGTATATGACTCTAATTGACACTAGTCTTCCACAAAGGTTAACTGAGGCATGCCACATCACAATGAGCAACATGGAATTTGTTGGGCTGCTCTTTTGTTTTGTTATGGTCCAATTTAAATGACTTGAAGTGAAAACAGATGCTAGAGATCATTCTTAGCACAAATGAGAGAGTGTTGTCCTGCTACTCACGTTGAGAACATCCTGTCGTAGCTGTTGTGGTTCAATGCAGGTGAGCATTCTGAGCAGCAGGTCCATGATGGCAGATGTCCCAATGTGTTTGATCATCAAGTCTACAAAGTCCTCCCGCTTCCGCAGAAAATCCACTATCTATAAACACAAACAAACCATACACACCTTAAAATCTTTACATAGGATAAACCAGGGGTCGCACTGACCGAATATTTTGAATTTGACGGAAAGGTCTTCTGTCTTTTTGACAGATTAGAGCAGAGTCAGATGGCAGGTTCTGTGGCATCACGCTCACGCAGACAGACACACAAACCTTTTCCATTTTGCACAAACTACCTCGTCTTACTATCAGGGTATTGACAGCGTGTTAGTGACAGCTGCGCCCTTGGTGCAGAAGGGATTTCCTCCTGGTGAAGTGAGTGCTTGCAGGATTGGGAAATCCTACATTCAGAGTCTTCTCGACTTCTGATCACATCCCTGTGAGAAATGGACTCTGAAATGGAAACGGTAATCCCTGGGAGAAATGACCCCCCACCCCCACTTGAAAACTCTGGTTGAAGTGGCACAGATAATTCTAGTATCCAGTGTGGCAGAAGAGCGTGTGTTCACCCTTAAGAACAAATTCAAAACAGCCATGAGAAGTCGTCTGTCTGAGGCAAAGATGCAAAACCTAATGACGATCGCCTCTGCAGCGCTCTGCGTTGATGTGTGTACCAAGTTCAAATCCATGGAGGAAGCTCTGAGGTCAGGCTACAATAGGTCAACTGAGTTCAACTTAATTTCTTGTCAATAATTTATTTATATTTTCATTGTAATTGTCTGATTTAGAAAAATGTCACTGTTCATATTTGTATAGGTACAATGGCTGCAGCCTTTTAGAGCCTTCTGCTGTCACTGCGGGTAAAAAAAAAAAATCATTCACCTACTACATGTGGTGTAGACATGAAAAGTTTCTGTCTGTCTCTGTTCATCGTTTCTCTTCACACCCTCAGAAATGTATAATCTGAGTTGTTTTTTAAAATTAAATACTATTAAACAGGATATGTCACATTATCATTAATAATCAAAATGAATAATAACAGATTATGACAGACTTTTTACGACCCTGTCTGTCAAAATGAAAAACAACAAGTTAACACAACCTCTGGGACAAACACAAAAGTACTTTTTCTAAAATATTTGAAAAAAACATTTAGAGCATGTGACCTGATCACTATTGATTATTTTGTTTTGGTATTTTTTCCTGTGCAAAATCATGATGACAATCTGCATCCCATTCTAAATTACAAGACCGTCTTCTGACCAACTCACCTGTTCAGGCTTGCGTCCTATAAGAATGGACAGGACCTTAGAGAAGAAGCTGGCCAGGAGCGGGTTGAGAGGCGGCTCATTCTGGAGGAATCCATAAAGTTTCATCAGCAGTTTTTCATCTTCTCCCAGTCTGTCATTTATCTGGCTCACATCAGATGTAAGCAGCTCACATGATATGTTGGGATACCTGGAAGACAACAAAAGTTGCTCCTTAGAGTTTTGTTTAGAATGCTGTGGTAAATGTTCAGAGATGCCAAGAGTAGTTATTAGACTAAGTGGCTGGGTGTGGCCCCTGGTGTCAAATTTTAAAGGTAAGAGACTTTCATGGATCTGATCAACTATGATACCAAATAACATGTTGTAAACTAAATTGTTCTTCAAATTCTTAAATAAATGAAGAATACAAAAAGTTTGAAAACCAATGTGAAATTTGAACCTTGGAAACATGCAATTTTTGAAAGGCCAATCCAATTGACTTCACATTTGACTCACATCTACAGCTCAGTGTGCTCTACAAAAAAGCCTCTTGGACCATGAAGTCCACCATGATGGATTTTCCATCATTTTGAAAACACATTTCTGACATCTCCTAAACTGTAGGTCTGACTGCTACCAAATTGCTTATCAAAAGTTGCATTAAGCTTGTTGATATCTTACTAAATTTTCAAGATATTGACCAATTAACTTTACAAGGGCTCACCCTTAGCAAGAAATTGGCCATAACTCACTAATGGTTTGTCCAATCATCATAAGTCTGGGTGCATATCTTCTATTTATCTTTGGGGAAAAAGATGGAAGCACTTTGAGCCCAACAGGCCACATGCGTGGTCTATCATATTTGCTGAAAATGGTTAGAACCTGCAAATTGCTGCTTGCAGCTATATTTTGCAAATTTCTTTTTGTTTTAACACAACAGAAAAATGAAATTTCAAAACTCCAACTGGGAGATACATAAAATGTTTTGTGGACATTCGTTGTGGGGGAAACAATAGGAATGTGCAAAAGAGACTTTAAGTTCCTTTTTTAGTTCCTGTGGCTACTTAATTCCCCAAAGTTCTTTATAAAAAGGGCAAAAGAGAACGGGGGCTTTTGTAGCGCAGGCATTTCCATCTAATATTTTTAAATATTATGCTATTGCCAGAATGCTTTTAATGTGCACTGCAGAGATCTGGTCCATAACTTGAAAGTTTTATAGTGTGTTATTTAATTGTACAATATGCAATCCTCCAGGCAAATGCCCACAGTTTTGCTCCGTTGTCTGAGCTTGTGCAACCATTAATGTTAAATGTAACAAATAAATGATAAATTAAAGGTTGCAATACATGCAATAGAGCACACAGAGAGAAGTGGGCCTTAGAAAGATGTCTACATATGTGTTTCTGAAATTGCAAATTTTTCTTGAAAGGGAACTAACTAGGACCTTCATTTTGCTCACCCTTACCCCTTGCACCATTTTATCTTACTTGTATTTAACCTTCTCCTCAACATCAGTACTGGGTTCCTGTGTGATGAAGGTGACCAGATCCTCCATGCACTGTGGTCTCAGCAGGAAGTCAACCAGTTTGTGGTTCTGGGCCTTGCACTCCTGCAGGACGTCATCTTCATCCATCACCTCTGTCAGTGTCACATCCTCCTTCTCTAGCAGCGTGTCAATGTGGGATGTGGTGTGGAGGTCAAATTTCCAGAACATGTTGGCTCTGAAAAGATCACATATCAAGTTACATACATTTTGTGCAACCAACAAAATGTGCCATTAAATTCATTGCAAGATGGGGTCCTTCAATCAGAGGAGACAGGAATATAATGTATGATTGCAATGACTAACAGCTGTCTCTTCAGCTTACCTGTGAGTATGTTGGAGTCCAGACGGCAGAGCTCAGGTTAAAAAGAGGTGTGTTCTACTCTTTGAGAGTTGTGGCCCATTCCAGGCTAGCCGAATGGACAGACAGGCAGGCAGACAGCGGTTATGGACAGACTGACAAACAGCACGCATACAGCAGTTCAACAGCACACACCTGTGGGGCAGAGAAACAGAATAAGACATGTTAAAATAATGTTACACTGCTTTTCATGTGGATATTACAGAAATGATGATTGTTACTTGTACCGTATTTTCCGCACTATAAGGCGTACTTAAAAGCCTTTCATTTTCTCAAAAAACGACAGTGCGCCTTATAATTCGGAGCGCCTTATATATGGATTAATTCTGGTTGTTATGGCTACCGTAGTCAGGAGCGTCGCGGAGTAATACATGTGCTTCACCATAATATTACAGTGTGTGTATAAAGACCCCAAAATGGCACCTGTCAAGAGACACGCTTACGACGCGGACTTCAAACTCAAGGCTGTCAGTCACGCTGTAGAACAGACTGTGTTTTTTTTTTTTTTATGTGTTACAACTGAACAAGGTTGGGAGTTATTGTGAATACGCTCATTAACATTTGAACAATGTTGAGAGTTATTGTGAACGTGTTTAATAAAGTTTGACTGACTGACTTATCTGACTGTTTTGTTTCGCTTAATGCGCCTTATAGTCCGGTGTGCTTTATATATGAAAAAAGTTCGAAAATAGACCATTCATTGACAGTGCGCCTTATAATCCAGTGCGCCCTATAGTGTTGAAAATACGGTAGTTAAAAAAAAAAAAAAAAGTACATCTCATTCCCATAAACACTTGTTTTGTTTCTACGGTCCTACAACACCCAGTACTCCTCATAAATGCACCATTCAGTGAAGCAGCTCCTTCACATGGAGATACACTAGACTTTTACTTTGTTACAATACAACAAATTTACGACTGCTGAAATAATGGCACAGAGAAGCATCAGTTGAAACTATAGCACTTGTATACAGCCTGTTCAAGGCGGGAATGTTTGCGTTTATTCCGCCTTGCCATTCTGTATATAAAGGTATGAATACGGAATATGGAGCATTGTTGTTCCACCTTTAAGCCAACAGCGGAGGTAGTCACAGTGACGGATCAATATCCATATTTAAAAAAAAAAAAAAAAAAAAAAAGAGCCCACATGGTTACACATCAAGCCTAACTGCAGAACGCCAGCATACTATCAAAAACCCACAAACCTGAAAAAATGAAGGGTCTTCATAACAACGATAAGACAGGCTGACTGCTTGTTTATTAATTTTTCCAGTAATGTCCTGAGTCAAACCACGCACTTAATAATATCTGCTATATAAGGCTCTTTGCTTGCTCTGCTGCTTGTTTCTGCTATAATTGGTAAGACACTGGCCCTGTTCAGACCTGGTATTAACATCCGTCCCAGGTGATTGGATCACAAGTGGACAGCTCTAAGTTCAGGTATGAACGCAACCATGCCACATTGAGGACACATTTGAGATCCAATCACTCAGACCACATTCAGAGGAGGTCTGGACCACGTGTCCACATTCTTTTAGCAGTGTGAATGTGTCCTGGACCACACTGAAGGACCAACTACTCTACTGACGTCCTCTGTCACATTCTGATTAGTCCCAACACAGTTTCGTAATGAAGGGAAATATTTTACTATTTCAAATGAATAAAACTGTATTCCATTGTAAGACCTGTGCACCAATGCATTACTTTGTTCAACCCCTCCGTGCCCCCCCCCCCCCCCCCCACCCCCACACATCTGATTGGCTAAAACACAACAACACATACCTGTTTATTTGCATATAAAGCGGGAAAGTGACAATCATAAGTGGTCAATCGAGACACATGTGGAGACTAATTTTAAAGCCAGGAGTGAACTGACAAACTTATATCTGACCTTGTGATCCGATCACTGAAGACGCTTGTTAATACCAGGTCTGAACAGGACCACTGTCTACATCCAGCTCCACATGTACGCACCTCTTATATGGGCAAACAAATACTGTGGTTGATCTAGCGTAGGGTTTTTTCCTGGGTCCAGTCTCCCAGCACACGCACATAGCACATTCTCATTGCACACAGGCACACTGCAAGGACAGGTCAAGTGCATATGCACAATATTAATATCAAAAAAGGTAGAAAATATGGACAATAACAAATTTCTTGAGCTTAAATTTTTCATTTTTGACAATCCGTCAGCGGGAGTTCTTCTGGTACTCCCGACAGCCAGTCCAATAATGACAGTCGTGTCTGTTGTCTGTGTGTGAGAGAGCGAGAGAGAGAGAACGGGGCAAGGGATACATTGCTTTATCACCCATGTGGTCTGACCTATGTTTACAGAGTACTCATATAATAATGTAGCAGTAACTACTGAGTACTCATATAATAATGTAGTAACAACTACTGAGTTCTCATGGGTTGACCGGTAGGTTAGATGTTGATGGGCATCGCAGCCTTTGTGATCCCATCCAAAGATTGTCTCTAATGACAATATTTTCCAGCTGAAAGCAGCAACACAAGTCAACGCAACTAAACTCGGTGAAACAATAGCCTCTTTTACACAGCCTGTTCAAGATGGGCGTGTTGAGTCTTTATTCTGCTTCACCATTCTGGATAAAAGATATGAAAACAGACTGGAGGGGCATTGTTGTTCTGCCTTTAAGCTGGCAGTGGAGTAGTCACAGTACTAGATCAACGTCTGTGTAAAGGGACATGGCGGGAAAGATGCAGATGCTGTTGTGTTACACATCATGCCTGATTCCAGAACACCAGCACGCTATCTAAAATCACATACTGGGGTGGGAACATGCCAGCTTGTTTGGTTCAGTGTAAACAAGCAAATGCAGGAAAACATTAGGTTTTCTGAACAGCAATATAGCTATAGGATCTTTGTATAAAAGGAGCTAATACTTCACACTAAGCATGGCTTCCTTAGAGTTAAGGATTATGTATATCCTAGTTAACACAACTAGTTGACTTCTTCTGGATTCCTTGGCCATGTACATGCTAAATCAGGTAACTTTCTAACAGGGTATTTTACAAGACAGCATAAAAAATAGACATGATAAGGAAGGTAATGCTGTAGGAGTTAGAAGAAATTGTTAACTTTTATACAATGTATAAGTATAGTAGTAGTATTATAATAGTTTTAGTTTAAAAATTAGGTACTGAATACCGGACCAGCTGTGTGTAAACAGCTGTCATACATGTTAGCAACAATGTGTGTAAATCCCTCTCAGATTTTCTGACAAACAGATTTCTCCAAATAACTTGTTTTCTTGCATGGAAAGAGGGGGACGTGTGCACTTACTTAGAAAAAATAGATGGTACCAAGAGACTGCAGCAAATGTGTTTGATAAACACCTATTGTGAGCTAAAAACTACTTGAAAAACTAAAATGTGGCTAGTCATGATCATACCTTGTTGTGTTGTTTAAGCTTTTAGTTGTGCGTTTTCTTTATATTTGTATTAATTTAGCAACAGCTAAGAGTATTACAAGTATAAAATACATCCAGGATCATACAAAGTCTGGGCCCCCTTGTCATGGTGAAACCTTAATTAGCTCCTAAACGGAACAAAATAACAGTGACACATGTACCAAAGGTCAGAGGCAATAAAATAGTCCTGGCAATCAAGCACAACCTCAAGAAAACAAAATTTTACTGCTTTAGGAACGTTCCTGCTGGGATGCCGCGTACACCGGCCGCTGCCACTAGACTCAAACAAAATCGATCTGAACAGCTAATGGCAGTTTAGTTCAATTTGACCAGTGCTAAGTTCCCAATCTACGCAGTCTGTGCATGCCCTAGGGAAAGACAACGGCGTTTCCTTACATAAATCAACAAAGTTGCCATAGCCTATACACCAAGATTTACGTTAATTTTCAGGTGCTAACCCCGAAACAACAGACTAAGCAGCTTGAAGACGCAGCTTTCTCTCAAAATACAGTGGTCACCGTAAGTTATGGCCATTAGTTATACTATTTTCCAGCTTTCCACCAACCGCACGCAAAGTCAGCATTCATTAAAAACACATGATGGCCCTATTTTATAGTTGGAGTTAAACGTTGGGTTCAGCGAACGTTAGAGATAGCTTTATTTTGGATAAACATAGGTTGAAACGCGAGGCGAGCATTTGATAACTCAAGCTATTATCTGCCTTATATAAGGTACGACTGGCTACAGTTTCTTGCGTTTTGCCGTCGAAATGCTACGTTTGCAGTAACGTCAGTTCATTTACATACCAGGGCCCAAAACAGACTAACAGTTACCGCTAACGCAACAGAAACACACCGGCTCAAGCAAACAAGCTAACGTCACTAGCTATCGTTAGCTATTGTTAGCTAACCTGGTCACCTAAAGTCGGGATCAAACTAATATCAGAGACGACGTCTTATTAAAGGGTGTCAGTGAGCTTTAGGGCTAACGTTAACTGGCTGACCCGTTGGCCGACTAAATAACGCTACGGCTTCACGATACCAAATAGAACAGAAATGTAATGTTAACGTCACCCCTGTCCTTGCTAGAGGTACACCAAGAGTGTCTGACAGCGGTGTTAAGATGGCCAAGTATGCTTCTTGCTAGCCAGCTAACGTTAGCCAGCTATCAGAAGACTACTGGCTAATCGTCTCTTCAGCACCAACCAAGTGCATGGGCTGGCAAGTGTACTTACCGATATACAACGGTAAACGGCGAGTCTCCAGCATGTGGCTTATCTTGCCATTAGCCCTGGGCCTTGACAAAACGAACGCAGAGATAACAAGCAATTCCGCGGGGGGGAAATACAACGTTTAAAACCGATTGTGACAGGCGCGAAAAGGTAGATCATCGGAGGGCACTTTTCAAGATGGCGGTTCCGTCAACTTCAGCGACCCCTTCCCCCACTACAGCTGCAGTGTCTGTCACTCAAACAGTCACAGCAAAACTATTGGTTCTAATCACATCGCTCAAACCAGGCCTTGAAGTTTCATTGGCTACAGAGCGTGCCACTTCAAGGCGTCATCCAAGCGAAGTACGAATATTGTGAGGCTCGGAAGAGCGGAGTTTATAGTCTTTCTTCTATTGTACAGATTTAGCAAAAGCCCGATAGTAACGTAAGAAGTTAGGAATTCATTCCAGTTTGTCTCGTTTGTTATTTGTTCCGATTTGCGTGAAATTCGCTCAAAGTAAAACATTAGTCCCACCCGCACGTTTGCTTTGAATTATAAATCGAACATACTCGTACAGTTCGAACACGCCCTTGTTTCGTTGAGAAACGCCCAGTTTGCTGAAGCTGGTGATGGATCAAAGATAGATATACAGTATTTTGAGATGATTTTCAGCTTTGGCTTATAGTTTCCAAAGTAAATGCAAACAGGGCAAGTGTAACCAAGTAAACACACCGGGCAGTACTTCATCTCTTGCCCTGACCAATACTCATAATTATTGACAACTGAAAACCTGTTGTAATGTACATATAAGATACATGCTTACCTTTTTTTCAGATTTTTTTGTCACACATAACAAGGTTAAGAATAAACTTCCATGCTCTACAATAAACCAGTATATAGAATGTACAATACAATGAATTCAACTGAGATATCTACAGTGTAAACAATGAGGAAGTATGTGATATGTACAGTGTAAAAAGAAGCCAAAGTAACACAGTTAAACACAGGTCAGAGATTTCAATACAGATGACCATACAACGCAGATCTCTTCTTTTACTGAACAGTTTAGGCAATGTGAAGAGACATTTGGAGTGCAGCTAACAAAATCTTAATGACAAAAAGAAGAACAGTCTATTAGACCCGGCATCATACAGTTACAGAAAGCATTATATAACTTTTTCCGTAGTGATATTAGATATTATATGTAATTTTCTGTTGCCGTGGACAATACATTTGCCAAATGAATAAATGTACATATAGATTCTGCATGGAAAGTTGCAGAGATATACTGAATACATTAACTACCATTTCATACAATCACTTTTTGTAAACACTAAAGAAAATATGGTCTCAGGAGGGTAGCAGTGTACTTCTTGATAATTCTCACATTTTCAAAACATTAGTCCAGTTCAAGTTCACAAAAGTGTTCTGTTGGCAGTAAGTGTGCGCATTTCATGGATCACGAGGACTGCACATCTGATGTGGCTGAAAAACATCCTCAAACTAAGGGTCATCTGTTCAGTCAGAGTTTAGAATGCTGGCGCTATTTCACATCCAGAGTAGTAAGAGGAGCGAAGTCACTGAAGCAGCCGGAAATCACCCATCTTTAATGTTGTGCTTTCCTTTATGTAACATGCCAAATGTCAAAATGTGCTTTGAAAAAGGCCTTTTGCTCAGAGATGGAGACTTGAGTTTGCGACTTGGACTTGAGTTGTACTATAAGTCGCACACACAGTGACTTAAGACTTGACTTGAAACTCATCTTCCAAAGACTTGAGCTTTGGGATTCATCGACAATGTGTATTTTATTTTTGTATTGGCACATTAACATTTAGGAAATGTCTGAATTGCAGAGTGTCATTCCCTTCCTTATTATCACGCAAAACTTTATGCATGCATTTGGCCACAGCCATAGATGACTGTAGGCTGTTATAACACCTTCACACAAGGCCAAAGCAAAAGAGTGACTAAATGCAATCTGTGCGGTATCTACTGTGCATTCAGAAAGTCTTCAGAACCCTTCACATTTTTCACATTTCTTTATGTTGCATTTTTATGCTAAAATAAAAAAAAATCATTTTCCCTCATCAATCTATGCTTAATAAATCACAATGACAATGCCAAAACAAATTTATTAAAAAGCAAAAACTGAAATATCACACTGACATAAGTTTTCAGGCACTTTGCTATGAATCTTAAAGTTAAGCTCAGGTCCCTTCTGATCATCTCTGTTTCTACACCTTGACTGGAGTCCACCTGGTAAACTCAGCTGATTGGACATGATGTGAAAGACACACACCTGTCTATATCAGGTCTCACAGTTGACAATGCAGATCAGAGCAGAAACCATGAGGAGGAAGGAACTGCAGCAGAGGTCAAAGACAGGATTGTGTCGAGGCTCAAAAAAACATTTCTGCTGCACTGAAGGTTCCTGAGAAGAACAGTGGTCTCCATCATTCTTCACATGAAGAAGTCTGGAACAACCAGGACTCTTCTAGAGCTGGACCTGGACTAACTGAGACATCAGGGAGAAGAGAGGAGAACCTGAGGTCACTCTGGCTGAACTCCAGAGATCCTGAGTGAAGATCTTCAAGAAGAAACTGATTATAAAATTGAGACCAAACAGTTCAGTTCGTTTCTTCAGACCAAAGAGTCTTGTTTCTCACAGTCTTAGAGTCCTTTAGGTGCTCTTTTTTCTTTTTTTTTTTTTTTTAAACAAACTTTGACTGAGGAGAGGCTTCGTATGGACATTCTGCCATAAAGCCCAGATCAGTGGAGAGCTGCAGTGATGGTTGTCCTTGTTGTGGGTTTATCAGATATTACAGTTTTTTCTGAATGCTTAAGCACATTTTTTGCAAACATTGGCTATTTTTGCTAAACTCTACACACAAATGAGAAAACCTTTCACCAAATTATCAAAACGTTATATTCTCTTGCAAAGCGAACACAGCTTGATTAACTCTTCACACCTTAGTAAAAATGGTGTTTTCGTATCAAACAGTAAACACATGCCATCATTTACTAAGCACATAATGTGCCAACTACACACTGATGGTATGAATACAAAACACATCTGGCTTTTGCTTTCTCTGTGCACACAAGGTAGGCTAGGTCAGTTTGAGGTCATACTTTTGTCATAGTTCTGTAAACACACAGGGATCCAAACTTCAAGTATTGGTGTTTATTCACACTCGTCAAAAACAAAGACACAGCACAGAACACAAAATAATAAATTCACAAAAAAAAAGACAATCAGCCTACATCATGCCGTCTCTCTGGGTCCGGCCACAAAATCTCATCTACATCGCATGCGATGTCCTCCAGTCCAAGGCACCGGGAAAATACCTCCTTGCATTGCCGTATCCAGGCCTGACATGATGCCTGCTCAATATCTCCACATGCCTCCTCCTATTGCCTGTAAAAAGCTGCGTGTTGATGGGGAATGGCGGTCGTGGACTTTCCAGCGCCAGGCAGAAAAGAACTCTTCAATCGGATTTAAGAATGGAGAGTATGGGGGGAGGTTGAGTGCCATGAAGAGTGGGTGATTCGGTAAACCAGTTGCGGACCAAAGCAGCCCTATGGAAACTAACATTGTCCCATATGATAACATATCGGGTCTGCTCTGGTCTCTGAACAGTGAGAATGTCGTGTAAGGTGTCCAGGAATGCAATCATGTGTGCAGAGTTATATGGGCAATGGTTGCATGATGGTGAACAACACCATTTTGGCTGATAGCTGCACCACATGGTGATGTTACCACCACGTTGTCCTGGGACATTGATTATTGCACGGTGTCCAATATATGTTCCTACCACGCCTCCTGTGTTTTACTGAGGTTAAAACCTGCCTCATCGACAAAGAGCAGCTCGTGTCCCATGGCATCTGCCTCCAGCTCCATTACTCTCTGGACAAGACAAAAACAAGCCTATGCACTTCGAAATTCAGAAACACAATGACACTATAATCTTAGCTACCTATACTCATCTATCGCAGTTGCTTCACACGTTCCACTATTTCTTTCGAAAGGAACTCTGTAAATTTGTTTCATCCTTATTCTGTTGCGGGCAAGTACACGACTTAGTACTGACATGCTCACACTGCGTATATATTTGGAAGATGGTGTCATTATCAATTATACGCTGCTGTATTTCGCGTAGTCTTATTGCGTTTTGGCAATCACCATATTCACTATATGGTGCTCTTGCTCTGGAGTGAACATTCTTCCTCTGCCCCCAACATCTGGACGTCTAGCAATTCTGTAAAGTAACAATTTCAGAAATTTTTGCATGTATGGTATTGTTGTGTTTCTCATTAGAGTAGGGCAGTGCTACAAATCTTAGTGCAATGGACTGTACTTACCGATTTTCATTTCGAAATGTCCTAATGATGCTCGCTACAGGTGTAGCGGCTCAAATTAGGCTGAACCCGTTGGCCAGCTTCCCTCAGGGTCATTCCATGGTTTATGACATGGTCCACTATTGTTGCTCTGATGTCATCAGTTATTCTATTTCTTCTTCTTACCCTTCCTCTTCCCCTCCTCGTCCTCCTCTTGCTCCTCCTTGTCCTCTTTCTCTAACTTCCTCTAACCCTCTCGCTTTCTTCACCTCCACGTCCTCTTCCTCCAACTCCTTCACCTCCACGTCTCTCCCTCTTGCTTCTTCACCTCCACGTCCTCTTCCTCCAACTCCTTCACCTCCACGTCCACGTCCTCTTCCTCCAACTCCTTCACCTCCACGTCCTCTTCCTCCAACTCCTTCACCTCCACGTCACGTCTCTCTTCCTCCAACTCCTTCACCTCCACGTCCTCTTCCTCGGCCTCCTCTGATTCTTACTCTTCTTGCTCCTTCCATTGTACTCCACACAGACAGCTTACCTGTGGCTTATTTATAGTGCTTAGGCTGATTGCAAAGTGAACTAATTCTCTAAAATTGTTTTCACATGTGAAAGTGTGCCAGACAGTTGGCAAAATAGTGTAAATAATAGCCATACATGTGTATGATTTTTCTAGGAGTGTTTTGGAAATTTGGCAATTGAGTTAAGCAGCGAGTTGTGTTTAAAGTTCTGCAAAAAGAGTGCTGTGCAGTGAATTGTGCCTACAGTTTTGCAAAGTGTTTGTTACAAAATTACAAACTGAGTGCAAAGCAGTATTTGTGCTTTATTTGGCTAACTCAGTGAGTGGTTTTGCTATATGTATTAATAGTTTTAGAAA